GACACAGAATTATTTGTGAATGAAAAAAACATAAAAAAAAAAGAGTAAACAATGTCTCAATTCTTTGAATGCCTTTATTAAAATTTTGAAGTTTTATAAATGTTTTGTGGATTTTAATTTTCTCATCATATAGATATTTTTTTATTTCAATTCCACTCTTGGAAGTACAACTGAAAATAGCACATTACAAATATTACTGATTTTATGGTTCTAGTCCTTCCTGGATCAAATATGTACAAAAATGTACATGGTTTATTTGAGATAAAGAAATATATATGCAAGTTAATAATTATATGAACATTCAATATTTTATTTCAATGTGAAAAATGTTTTACGAAACCCCAGTGTATTGTTTTGTGTGTATGAATGCCGTGCTGCCCAACAAGGGCCCTCGATTTGAACATTAAAAATTCTGATTATTATTCGATATCTTTGTAATAATTTCATAAAATAATTATACATATTTACAAATTATTTTAGAACGTTCACACCTTTTACAGTCCTATATCTGTCCTAAGAAATCGCATCAAAATGATTTGAACACTTTAGAAAGTTGTAATACACATGTTCAGAAACTTTTAAAACTCATTGTTTCCTGTGGTCAAAACTAGAGACAAGTGTTATACAGTTGTTAATCTTGAGATAAGTCAGATTGTAAACTTTCACATCCTATGGATATAGGGTCAATATAATAGTTCCATGGGATAATGAATCATAACAGATGACTGTGATAAGGAGTGACCAGATTCACTACCCTTGAGAACTTAGGCATCCTGCTAGTGCTGTACATGATCAATGATTTAATAATGACAGAAATTATTTAAAAGATTGCACACTCACTTCAATATCGTCAACAATTTATATGCTTGTCAGACATAAAAACTTTCATTGTGTGACCCCCCCCAGTCAAATAAATTTTTTGATGGCAACCCCCCCCCCAGCTGTATGATATATTTGGTAATGACCCCCCCTAAAATGAACCGACCCCCTCAGCTGATAAATAATGACTGTTCCCTAAATTGAAATTAGTTAAAAAGTCAAAGTTATAAATAAGTGTTCCGTGTAAAATTGTTTTTGAAAATCTAGTTTGTTCATAATTGTTTTATGTAATAAACTTTTTAAAATAAATTCGGACCTTCCCTTATCTGATCACCAGAATGGCTAAAGGAATTGTTCCAAGAGGTATTGTGAGGTGACACGTACAGGTATTCAAGCGATTTCCTGTCGGGCTTTAAAACTGTTATTACACAATTACATAAAACAAGTTCGTGCATCACTTCTTTTCTGGGGGTATTGATCAGTGTACACGGCCGATAACATGTAACTTCCATTTTGAATCTATCAGGTGTAATATACAACTTTGTATAGCGTATCCGATAGTGATATACTAGTCATTGCTAAACTCATACGCTTGTTTATAAATAACATTTTTGGTGTAAAGAATGATATTTATGAAAGTTTAAATAATAAAAAAAAAAAAATTTGATGAAATAAAAATCTATTTACACATTTTCCAAGGGTAAATTGGGGAAAATGTAAGTATATACCCGTTGTCAATAATTATGGACATTTTGAAACATACAAATATTGATTTAACAAAATGTGCGGCACTTGTCGATCATTGGTTTATACGCCTAGATGGAAGGTTTAATACGGAACTATGGATAGTCGCAATATAGAACTAATATCATACAAGTATATTGAATATACGAGAGAAACATCCAGAACCAATCTGATTTAAATACAGGTCGATATCTAACTTGCTTTGGTTCATCGAAGCTATAGACATAGTAAAATCACAGATTTATATTTCAATAATATTATTTCGAACAGTTTAAGAAATTCGTCATCATCTCATTTTCCTGGTCCGACATGCATGTTATATATATATGCCACTGGACGTGCACTAATGATCCCCAAAAGCCTATTTGAAGAAATAAAGAAACTTCACTCCGGATAGACTGATGGTAGTTGTATTAACGTCTGGTCAGCTAGAGGGTTGATTTATTTATTTAGTTAGCTTGTAGGGGATTTAACCACTCTTAATATTGCACTTATGCATTAGATATTAAATGACAGTACCGGTAATATAAGAGAAAATATAAATACGAAAAGTCGCATATCTGATAGAAAAGGACTCACCATGAACTATAGGATTGTACGTACCATTGTCATTCTACATGGCATAACGGACAGTCATTTAAATGCATGCATGTACGCTGTGATAAAAAGGGGTGTCGCAGTTGCAAAGTATTCATCATAAATCTATTTCAAATTTATTATTTCCTGTTATTTTTATAAATTAACGCAGAGACATGTATACACTAGATCTCTATTTAACGACAAGCAACTATATAAATATCTGAATCTGATGTGACTTACCGTTCATCTCTTTCTTTACCGTGAATTTAACCACGCCTTTACCAGGTGGTGTCAGCATAATACACATGCATTGTATTTACACAGTACTAGACTGATGCAAGGATTTGTATAGTAAGACAAATCCCCGACTGAAGTAATAGGGGAGAATACAAACGTGAATTTCTATTATACTATCAGTTATATATGTTGTTCAAAATATCCGTAGAAAAAAAAATCATAAAAAAATTCTATTGTATGATTTGCTTTTATTACTATAATCATATCAGAAACCCTAAAAATATAAATCGTAAATTTTGATTTAAAAAAATGCACGGCTAATCACTTTTCTTTCTGAATTGTTAGTTGGTTAATAGCTACACCAAATGTCGTTGATGCGCTTTAAATCGCGTTATTAGATGATTAACGAACAAGACTTTAAATGAGATTAATCCACTCCCGGCATGCAAAAAGACTTAAACTACGTCACATAAGTCAGGAAGTTTGAATAAATAGAATTAATAATTCCCAATTTTCTTCTTTATTAGTTTTCATATCCAGATAAAACTTGGTGAATATGTTTTTAATGGTATTATGAACATAATAAGATGATAAGTAAAAAATCGCGAATTTTCCCTTTAAGAAAAATAAAAGAATTGTTACAGAAATATTAAAATCCGTAAATAAAATATGCATTGCAAAATTTGAAAAAATAATTGTCTTTTTTTAATTAAATCCTAAACGATGGTGTTTGAATAAACATCGTTAAATTTTAATTAAATCCTAATTGATTGTTAAATATGATGGTGTTTGAATAAACATCATTTAATTAAATCATAATTAATTGTAGTTATGCATTAATCAGTATTTTATGTAAGTTTATAATGAAATTTGATAATTTCTCAATGGAGGTCAAAAGTGTTTAGACTGTGGGACCAGTATTGTAGCAACAGCATCTCCACCTCCAGACTGCTAAAGGAATGTGCCAGTGTGTACGGAACACCACCAAAGAGACTTTGTTAAAACTTATAGTGCTGCCTGTATATATGTTAAATGTTATATTTACAGTATTGAAATGTTTCATTACTATCATGTGTTCACCTTTGATGCAAATCTAGTGCTGTTAACGTGTCTATAAACTGTTATGAATATAATTATAATAAATAAAAATTATTGCTATATTAACACTAAACTTGCAAATTGAGGTCATGCCCACATATCTATATTACTCCCAGTAAATTTTAATTTTTGGTTCATTATATTTTGATCAAGAATTTAATAATTGATTTTATCTTTATGATGTGCCGATTTGTCTATGTTAGGTGCCGATTTGTCTAGGTGCCGATTTGTCTGAGTGCCGAAGTGTCTTTCTCGGGTGCCGATTTGTCCGGGTGCCGATTTGTCTGGGTGCCGAACTGTCTAGAATTCTGGGCGACTGTGGCTAAAAATAGAACATAGGGGTAAAATGCAAGTTTGATCTATCATTTTGAAAACTCTTATAAATAGAGAAATTCTGACAGTGCAAACATGTTCAGAATGTGGAGCTCTACCAATTGTTCATTGACGTCAAAATTTTTTTATAGGAATTATTGCGCTTAAATAACAAATTTTACCATTTTTTTAATTTTTGCCTTTTATCTTGAAAACTATAATAGATGGAGAGAAACTTTAAGTTGCAAAAATGATCAGTAAGACAAGATCTACAAATAAGTAGGCATGGTTGAAATCGTCAGTCGACTCTTAATTGCCTTTTGAAGAAAATTTTACCTATTTTTTGCATTTTTGCCTTGTATCTCAATACTGTAATACGACAGTCATTTATAAAACGTCTATATCCAATCCATGCAATCTGGTTGAAATAATAAATAAATATTCCATGCGCATATTATTTTGATAGAATGTTAGTAAAATGATTATGAAATATGACCGTTAAAACATACAAAAAATTTTGGAAATAAATAGAAAAAAATCATAAATATTTATACATTTTTTTCTAAAATTTGGTTTCTCAGCCAGTCATGTCGAACAGAAATTGAGATGTTAATTAAAGAATGACACAAATAAAAATATATTAAATTCTAGGCAATATGCAGCACTTTTACAACTTTTTAAAACAAAAATTAAAATTTTCCAATAATTCACCAGATTCAGGTTTTATTTGCGCAGTCCTGGGAACAATATATATGTTCCTGCGCAGTCTTAAATATGGGTACAAATTAAGCTGGGACAATGAAATTGAAAAATATTCCTAGTTGAACGTCCCTTTAGCTATTGGTTCAAGATTTTACAATATATTTTGGATACCATATTCAACCTTGTTTATGCAATTGTTTGTAAATATTATTGTATCTTTATCTATGCCCCTCCCCCTTTTTCTAAGGACCTTGAATGGATTAATAAACATACTGTATTGCATTGTATCAACAAGGATGAAAATATAGTTATTGAAGTGGTATTACGGACTTAAGCTTTTCAAGTCCATACAAGTCGTCATAAGAACTGAATATGATATTTTATGGCCTAATCAGATTAGTAATAATCCGGAAAGGACCTAATATATCCGGTATTGTTATTTTATTATACAGATGCTTTGTATTTCATGAAAACGTTTTATACCATATGAATTTATCTTAATTTAGAAAGTAAAGTTCTGATGTCGTTACCAAAATAAACACACAGTGCAACGTGGAAATACATTTACAATGTTGCAGACAGTGCAGGTATGAATTGATCATTTGTCTTCCAAATATGCCAAGTGACACAGAGGCTACTCGCCGTTAAATATAGATCCAGGCTATTAGTAAATTACGGACCATCTAACAAACGGTATAATTTGTCGTTTTGCCCCCAACTTTTGGGATTCTGAGTCCTGATTTCGTGGGTTCGTGGTATAGTGGATAAGACCGATGGTTATAGTGCTGAAGGTCAGGAGTTCGATTCTGACTCGGGGGGGGGGGGGGGGGTGTTGAAATTTCAGTATATCAGAAGGGTGATTTTCACACACACCCCCACACACACACCCATCTCAGGTAACCAGTCTGGAGTTTTAACTAGAATGGTTACATTGGGGGCCTTAGTTGGTTGAAGTTGCCCCCTATACTTTGACCTAGAAATCAATCTGCTGATATCTCTTTGGTTTGTCTGTTCCCGCTGAGCAGCCTGGTGGTTCTCTCCTACTACTTGGGTTTCCTCCACCATAATATAAACAGACTATCCTGTGTCCTAGCACACTCATTGTGTTGAGTTGGGGATTGTCCTATTACAAATAAAACAGACAAAAATCTAAAAAAATGTTGATAATTGTGCATGTGTCATATTTAGGAACTGGTTGATTAATAAATAGAAACTGAACAATATTTTGATTTGTCATGTTGTCATTTATTTTCAGGATGCTAGTGACTGCTTTGTGTATTCTGAAAATGATCTTTTAAAGAATTGTCAACTGGATAAAGATTATCAACTTAGTGAAGTAGGTATAGATACAAATGTTCAGGAATTATCTGACCTTTTTCTCATCACTTGGCGTCTGTCGATGTCCATTAACTTTTACAAAAATCTTTTCTGAAACTACTGGGCCAAATTTAACCAAACTTGGCCACAATCATTATTTGGGTATCTGGTTCAAAAAATGTGTCGGATGACCCCCCTGCCAACCAACATGGCCACCATGGCTAAAAATAGAACATAGGGGTAAAATGCAAGTTTTGTCTACTATTTTGAAAACCGTTATAAATAGAGAAAATCTGACAATGCAGAAGTGTTCAAAATGTTGAGCTCTACCAATTGTCCATATATGTTAAAACTATCAGACGACTTCTTACAGGAGTTATTGCCCTTAAATGAAAAATTTTACCTTTTTTTTTCCATTTTTGCCTATTATCTTGAAAACTATAATAGATAGAGAGAAACTAATGATCAGCAAGACAAGTTCTACAAATAAGTCTGCATGGTCGAAATCGTCAGTCAACTCCTTATTAGAGTTATTACCCTTTGATGACGATTTTTGTCGAGCCTGCGACTTTTGTCGCAGAAAGCTCGACATAGGGATAGCGATCCGGCGGCGGCAGCGGCTACGGCGGCGGCGGAGGCGGCGTTAGCTAACTTCTTAAAAGCTTTATATTTTAGAAGATGGAAGACCTGGATGCTTCATACTTTGTATATGGATGCCTCATGTTACGAAGTTTCCGTCAGTCACATGTCCAATGTCCTTGACCTCATTTTCATGGTTCAGTGACTACTTGAAAAAAAAGTTCAGATTTTTTGTAATGTTAAATTCTCTCTTATTATAAGTAATAGGATAACTATATTTGGTATGTGCGTACCTTGCAAGGTCCTCATGCCCGTCAGACAGTTTTCACTTGACCTCGACCTCATTTCATGGATCAGTGAACAAGGTTAAGTTTTCGTGGTCAAGTCCATATCTCAGATACTATAAGCAATAGGTCTAGTATATTCTGTGTATGGAAGGACTGTAAGGTGTACATGTCCAACTGGCAGGTGTCATCTGACCTTGACCTCATTTTCATGGTTCAGTGGTTATAGTTAAGTTTTTGTGTTTTGGTCTGTTTTTCTTATACTGTATGCAATAGGTCTACTATATTTGGTGTATGGAATGATTGTAAGGTGTACATGTCTAGCTGGCAGGTGTCATCTGACCTTGACCTCATTTTCATGGTTCAGTGGTCAAAGTTAATTTTTGAGTTTTGGTCTTTTTTTCTAATACTGCATGCAATAGGTCAGCTATATTTGGTGTATGGAATGATTGTAAGGTGTACATGTCTAGCTGGCAGGTGTCATCTTACCTTGACCTCATTTTCATGGTTCAGTGGTCAAAGTTAAGTTTTTGAGTTTTGGTCTTTTTTTCTAATACTATATGCAATAGTTCAACTATATTTGGTGTATGGAAATATTTTATGATCTATATGTCAGTCACGCAGGTTTTATTTGACCTTGACCTCATTTTCAAGGTTCATTGCTCAGTGTTAAGTTTTTGTGTTTTCGTCTGTTTTTCTTAAACTATAAGCAATAGGTCAACTATATTTGTTGTATGGAAGAATTGTTAGCTGTACATGCCTGCCTAGCATGGTTCATCTGACCTTGACCTCATTTTCATGGTTCATTGGTCAATGTTTAGTTTACTTGGTTAATGTTAAGTTTATGTGACAGTTGTAATAAAGCTTTATATTTAGGACTATCAACATAATATCAATGATTAGTAAAGAAGGCGAGACATTTCAGCGTGTGCACTCTTGTTACCAATTTTAAGCGTTTTTGTATTATACATGTATCTTAAAAATTATAATAGATAGATAGAAACTTAAATAAGCAAAAAAGATCAGCAAGATAAGATCTACAATTAAGACACTATGGAGGAAATTGTCTGACGACTCCTTATTGGAGTTATTGCCCATTAATGATGATTTTCACCATTATTTTGCATTTTGCCATATATGATAAAAATTATAATAGATAAATAGACACTTTAAATCACAAAAATAATCAGCAAGTCAAGATCTAACAAGTCAAATTTTGCTGACATAGTTAGTAGACTGTCACTCTTTATAGGAGTGATTGCCCTAAAAAGAGGATTTTTTTTACCCTCTTTTGTGTTTTAAGCAAAAACTAAGGAAGATAGAGGGAAATTAAACAGACTAAATGATCAGCATTACAAGATCAACAAAACAGAGTTTTTGTCATGAATTCTATTCTCGTCTATAATGTTTGAGAGTGTCCTTTGTTGAATATGCACATAGACCAAGGTGAGCGACACAGTCTCTTTAGAGCCTCTAGTTTGAATTAAGGAAGGACAATACACAAAAGATGATCTAGATGGAAGTCACTCTTTGTGGTGAATTTAAACAATAAATGCTGTTGATTGTTGCTGGTTCACCTTGAACTATGGTGCTGTGTATTGCATACATGTAGGTTATATTTGACAGGATGTAAATTCAAATTTAATCACCAGCATCCATTGGTTTCACAGTGAATCACTCGAGCTCAATGCCAGCAAGAATGCAATTTACCTTTCAAAAGTGTTTTTGTTATTAGTCTACTTCTGTGATGTCTATATTTGTTTTCTACATAAAACTTTATCGCTGTTAAAAATAAATACTCAAGGTCATAATGAAATTAATCCTAGATTTCTGATCAAAATTTGAAAAATAGATAAGGCATCATTCTTTTTAACTTTATGTCTTAGTTATTGCTTCTTGTATTGATTAAAATGTTTGTAAAATAAAATGTGACTAAGTGATAAACATGATAAATAGATGGGCAAACATAATTGAGATGAGAATTAAGAAGTATTTTTGTACTGTCACCTGGAACAAATGAATTAGGCTTAAATTCAAATATTGTTTGTTCACAATTTACCAACCGACCCTTGAAAATCCGCCCAACTGGGAAAATTTTATTGCATTTAATTTAAAGAAATTTTAATCTGAAATGTCGGGTCATTGCCAGAATTGATTTAAAATGTAGGCCTATTACATGTTTCAAGTTCCGTTTTTCTTACCTTCCCATCAAACGTTGATTGGACCATTCAGTGATAGAGCATATAGAGATTGTTTACAGATATCCATGAAGTCCAGGAGGAAAACTTTACTCTGTCATCTACTGTCAATATTAAGACAAATAACAAACAAAAAAGTTTTAAAGTAAACCGTTTACACAGATTCAGGCAGAGTTGCACATGGAATGATGTCTTTGATGATATCATGGACGATAATGCAGCGGATATTCATAAAACCAACACAATAACGGTTTCTGTCTCAAACAAATCAGGTACAGAGTGTTTTGAGCCTGTCTTTAGGGAACCAATATCAATGGTTAAACAATTCGACAGCAGCCTGAAGTATGCCATATTTTCAAATTGTTATAAATCAATAAGAAGCCACCTAAACTACACAAAGATGTAGAGAAAATGAATGGTTAGCATGAAAAATAAATATTCTCTCTCTATATTAAATCTATCTTCGCTTGCAATGAGTATGCTCCATCAGGATAAGCGGCTGCCCAACTCATTGCAATTATTCTCTCTCTTACAATATTAAATATACCCAAACTGTGTGGCCTGTGTGAATTGAATTGAAACATGAAGGAGCTATGCTGCCAAATTCTTTTATGCAGTCAAAACATTTCAGTACAGACCATTTACTTTGAAGGGTGGCTATGGATTTCACCCGAAGTCTAAGATTTTTTGCCATCACTTGGTGTCCGTCGTCTGTCGTAGTCCGTCTGGTGTAAACTATTTCAAACATCTTCTCTTCTGAAACTACTGAACCAATTCCAACCAAACTTTAGCTGAATGATGCTTAGGGTATCTAGAATAAAATTTGTGTTTTATTTACTGTTTCGTCAAATAACATGGCCACCATGGCTAAAAATAGAACATAGGGGTAAAATGCAGTTTTTGGCTTATATCTCAAAAACCAAAGCATTTATAGCAATCTGACTGGGGGTTAAAGTGTTCATTAGGTGAAGTTCTATCAGCCCTGAAATGTTCAGTTGAATCTGATAACCCATTGTTGGGTTGCTGCCACTAAATTGGTAATTTTAAGGAAATTTTGCAGTTTTTGGTTATTATCTTGAATATTATTATTGATAAAGATAAACTGTGAACAGCAAAAATGTTCAGCAAGGTAAGATCTACAAATAAGTTCATATGATCAAAATTGTCAATTGACCCCTTAAGGAGTTATTGCCTTTTAAGGACAATTTTACACAATTTGTTAATCAATGTTTTCTATCTTTAAAAAATCATCTTCTCTGAAACTACTGAACCAATTCCAACCAAACTTATATTGAATGATTCTAAGGGTATCTAGAATAAAGTTTGTGTTTTATTTTCTGTTTCGTAAAAAAACATGGCCGCCATGGCTAAAAATAGAATGTAGGGGTAAAATGCAATTTTTGACTTATATCTCAAAAACCAAAGCATTTAGAGCTAATCTGATGAGAGGTAAAAATGTTTATTAGGCCAAGCTCTGTCAGCCCTGAAATTTTCAGATGAATCTAACAACCTATTGTTGGATTGCTGCCACTTAATTGGTAATTTAAAGGAAATTTTGCAGATTTTGGTTATTGTCTTGAATATTATTAATGATAAAGATAAACTGTAAACAGCAAAAATGTTCAGCAAAGTAAGATCTACAAATAAGTTCGTATGACCAAAATTGTCAATTGTCCCTTTAAGGAGTTATTGCCCTTTAAAATCAATTTTTCACAATTTGTTCATTTAGTTTGCTTACTTTAAAAAATCTTCTCCTTTGAAACTGCTGAATCAATTTCAGCCAAACTTGGGCTGAATGAGTTTCAGAGTATCTAGTAAAATTTTTGTATTTATTTTCTTGTACATCAAGAAACATAGCCACTATGGCTAAAATGAAACATAGGGGTACAATGCATATCTTTGATTTTGAAGAAAATATGACAGATACAAAGAACATTTCAATGGAAGTTTTAATCCATTCATTAATTTATATTGAAAAGCAAAAATAATCATTGATGAAAGATTTAAGCAAAAAATTACAGGTGAGCGATTCAGGCTCTTGAGAGCCTCTTGTTTTGGTTTTAAATGAAGCCTGGCATCAACATATCTTTCAAAATATAACCTTATTACATATAAATCCTGGATCTATTTTTTTTCAACCTTCCCCCATGGCCATATTTTATTTCTTTTAAGGAAAAAAACATAAAGCACCTCTTTTCCCCCTTTTTAGTTAAATGATCAGTCCCAGACAACTCCAGAATAAGGAATATAGATGTTGGTCAATGTTAAGGGGGATGGTTCAATGGGTTCCTATAAAAACTTAATGTTATAACCCCACCATCACTTGTTTAATGCACCTGTCCATATTAAATCAGGAACTGTTTTGTCATCGATGGGTCTTGGTCTTGTTAGAATTTTCCAGTTTTAATAACTAGATGTCTAGGTACCAATTTTAATGTGCTAGATAAGCAAATTTCCATATTGTATATAAGTCAGAAGTCTAATATAGTTTTTAAGTTGCCTTTTTGTTCAATTGAGGAAGATTTGAATGGTTGATTTTTTTTTATTGAAAACACTCGACAAGAAGCCTGGGCAGGTGTCTATAAAGCTTCAATTTCTACATTTTGCTGATGAAAATACTCTACTCATGAAAGCATTCTAGTCAAGAAGCATATATGTCAGTGTGAATATATTTGTTTAAAACAAGACTAGTCATTCCTTGTTTATAAGTGTTAAAGTACTGTAAATTTAGAAATTTTTGCGAGGTTTTTATTAATGTGAATAATGAGACTGGGTGAGTATCGCAATAATGAGAATTCGCATTCTGATTATTGTCATATAGACCTTTATACAGAGTTTTTCGAAATCGCAAATAACGCAATAATTAAACTCGCATGTTTGTCCATTCTTGGATAATCGCAATAATAAATGCACGCAATAATTTCTGAATTTACAGTATTTAATAATACCATATTTTTATGTCATATACATGTATATTGGTTAATGATACTATGTTATAGTTTCAGTTTTGATTAAAAAGTTTTAATCTGAAAATGCCTGTTCATTTCATATTGGTTTTCAGTGTTTGTTGTTTTAAATGGTTTTTTTTTCTTCATGAGAAACTTGGTTTGTTTAACTGCTTGTTTAAACTTAATTTTGGCTGATGAAATAAAATATTTTTCCTTGTAACCTACCCACCCTTCAGTCTGAAGGTACAGTCGGAAAATTGCAAACAAATATATTTACAAGGTTGGCCTCACATGCAAAATAGAAGCAATCTAAAGTAATTTGACTAAGGTGATTCCATGCATGGCCAATGTTAAATTGATATTGTTTTTCTTCAGAACTCTTAGACTCGCAAAAATCCTTGAAGTATGAGAGAACTTACATGTAAAGTGCAAAAAAATATATGGCAGGTGACCAGTTCTAGTCCTTTTGATTTCTTCAATCTTCATTTATATACATTATGTTTCAGTTTGACATCCAACTGAGAAAGAGCTGGGATGATAAAATGAAGAATGGACATTTCCGTTATCATTTAGACAAAGTAGAAACAAAGATTATACCAGGGTCATTGAAATATGTTGCACAGGTAAAATCAGCTGTTGTCATAGCTAGGGATATAACCATAGGTTATCAAGTTCTATTTGTATGATGTAAAACTTAGACTGTTTCTATAATTTTTGTTTTGCAAGATATCTATCAAAAAGATATAAGATACATGATATCATACAGATATAATACTTTGACCCCCTTGGACCGAAGCCTTTTCATTAATAGAGCTATTTCCCCAAACACTGTTTTTCTTGTTATTACACACTTTTGTATCTAAAATGACGTTTACAAACTAATTTCTTTACATTGTTTGTTATACATAAGCTTCAGACAATTTTGTCAAAAGCGATACTGTGATATCTTAAAGGAGTTATGGTCCATTCGTTATTTTACTTTACGTATTAACTTATCAAATGTAATCGTCAAAGTCCTCTGGTCTGTTGATTTAAGATCCCGGGGCAAAAACTAAATAATTGAGGTCAAGGTGAAAGGTTAAGGTCATGTTTCAGATTTTGATGTTTGCTTGTTATTGATGATAACTTCAAGCTGAGGCATGTTAAAGCCATTGGGTCTTCATCATACTGAAAGGAGAGCGAGACCTTGAAAAAGGTTACCCAAAAGTTACCCTGTACAAACCAGAAGTACCGGAACCTGTTATTTTGCACTTTAAAAAAAAAAGAGCCTAGCAATCATATATTTTCGTAACCAGTGTAAAGTAAGCTCTCTTATGACATCAGAAGTGATGTTCTGTAAACTGGAAGTAGCTCATTATATTCCTTATTTCACAGAAAAGTACCTAACAACCTTGTATTCCTGCAATCAGTAAAAACTCAGCCTTTATATGACACTGAACAAGACATGTATAAACTGGAAGTAGCTTATTATCTCCCTTATTTAAAAAAAAAATATATATAGAACCATATATTTTTGGAATCAGGGTTAAGTAAATGATCATATAACACTGGAAGTGACTGTGTGTGTAAACTGGAAGTTGCTTATTATTTCCTTTATTTCATATGAATCTACTACAAGCTTTACATATTTGGAATCTTTGTAAGGTACACTTTTTGTTTAGCTATATTTTGACACAGAAAGTAACTTATAAATTAGAAGATACTTTTTCTCTCTAATTTGAACTGCCTGTTAATTATGAATTCAGTGTAATCTTCTGCATACCTTTATTTATGCTCATCAACTTCTTGTTTTATTAATAAGCAAATTTACATATTCTTACACATAACGGCCATGTTTGACATTTTTAAATAAATGTAATTTGGTATCCAGCTTTATATGAGTATACTATACTGTATGTTTTTTCACATCCATCTCTCATTAACTTCATGTTTACAGAATACTTACAGCGATGGTTATCATTAGTTAGCAATAGCTAACATTACATCTTGTTTTGTATTTCCCTTTAGACATCAAGCTGGTGTTTTTATACATGCATATATAATGCAAATTACAGAGTTTAATTTTTGTTTTGAATAACATGCTCTTGACAAAATAACAGCCCTTGCAATTTGAAAGTATGCAGGGGACACAATATATTTTTGCATAGACAATACTTTCTGTACTGTTATCAAACTTTATCTTTCAGCTAAACGTTAAGAGAGCTACAGAAAGAAGACCACCACAGAATATTACCATAGTGAATCAACCATTTGACAGTAAAGTATTTAATTTTACAAAAGTGAAGGAGGATGAGATTATATTTAGATTAGAGAAATCAGAAAATGATGGACAACAGCAGTGTAATGGACATACAGATTCAAAAAATGAAGTAAGTTTTTTAAATGCCATTTTATTCATCAAAATTGTTATGAGTTTTTGCTCATGATTAAGTATCTTTAAATGATCTATGCTCATTTTAAAACTGTTTCTTGTTGATATGCTGTCTAATTTATGTCAACTCTGTCTTTTTTTTTGATATACAACATGTATTGACAATACATGGGGATTGATATGAAATTTTTAGTTATAATTTATATTTGCTTTGTAAAGAAATTTAAATTCTTTTGTAAGGGCAGTGATTTAGGACACATACACAAATAATTGAAGTTCCAATACTGCACAATATAAAATTTAAATCGCTCCCTGAACTGACTTATAAAAAAAATAAATGAAAACAATGCAGTTTGGTCATCACAACATGTTTTTGCAGAAATTTAAAACCTACTTTCTCTGACATAATTATACAACCTAAATTATGTGCCTGATACATGTAGCTCGACTTGTGTGTGCACTTGATGTTGTATGTTTACATTTAGGTCCTAAAATCCGGACACTATATTGTAAAAGTAAAAGATACAAAGGAAAAACTTCATAGAATATCTACCAACAGTATGGCCACTAATAAGGTACAAAGGAAAAACTTCATAGAATATCTACCAACAGTATGGCCACTAATAAGGTGGACAAGATACTGAGGAGGTAATCCAATACCACAACTCAAAACAGGAGAGACAATACAAGGGCCAAAAGAAACAAGATAAAACATACAAACAATCCACTAAGAATGATATGTAGAAAAATGAAGATCGACCAACATGAACTCTACCAAATTTTAAAAAACCATAATCGTCATATGAAACATTGTACATCGTTAATTTCAGAAAAGAAATATTGTAATGGTAAATGTAAGTCCATTAGAGTATGGCCATATACTGATCTGTCCTGATATTGATGCTTCTAAACCACAAGTAAGTTTTAAATTATATATTTTTGACTGTGGTCAAATATTGGTACAATCTAAACTGTACAAATGTTCTTCAAATCTTCATGCAAATTGTCAGCTCTGATTAAATTTCATCAAAAGCTGTTTTAAAAAATGTTACAATGAAACCAAAATAGTTCAGATGGAACTTTGGTAATCAAAGGTAATGTCTTATGACGGAAAAACTAACTGATCTGACTAGAAAATTACATAATTAACCTCATTTTCCATGTCATTGTGTGGTAAGACATTAAAATCTCAAATGTTGGAAATCGCAACTGCAATTTCTTAGAAATAATCAACATTTGTTATGTACAGAAGGATGTAAAAAAAAATGAAAACAACACTTTATAAATTTCATGAGTCTGAAGTGCTTTTTCTGCTGAATGATTGTACCATTTTTAAAAGAAAAGGAGTAAGATATTTTCTTAATTTAATATGAACTCTAAAATAACATTAGCTGTGCTACCTACTTGTAAAAAATGTTTGAGTCATATGTTCATGATGTTATTTATTAATGCTATTCTTTAAATATTTCAGCTTTTAGATGAATATGCCCTTAAACTAGCCATTAACTGTCAGCTACTAAGTAAACATAAGTAAGTATTTTACTGTTATTTGAGATACACTAATGTATCAGGATTTTGTTGATAGAGATGAGGGACAGAAGTACCCTTTTACACTTTTCGGGACCCGAGAATTACTGATTAATTTTAAGGAACCCAGGAAAGAATGCTTAATCTTTTAAGAATTCATGATGACACCCCTCCTTCCCTCCCCTGCTCTACCCTTAATGTGTAAGGTACCATTTTTTTGTTTTATGCCTCCCGATGATTTCCATGGATTATTGTTTCAGAGGGGAGTTGAATTTTTGGTAATCTTTTAACAAAATGGCCACCTTACCTATAGGCTGCTGTAGCAAGGGCTATTTTCTTTCAATGATAGTACACAATGGGTCATGTTACTACCCAGGACCACTCTGCACTAGATACAAAAAATGTACTCCTTGCATGCCATGGACATGAAGGTCAAGGAATTTAAAAAAGATGAGATTTTCCCTGGTTACTCTCTACTTAGCTAAGATTCATAAAAAAAACATTTACAATGTTGGATATGTTTTAATATTTTGACCTCGAACAAATAAGTAAAATTTACATCATTTTAGTAGGTTATATATGTATACTTTTGTTTTGTTTCAGGGGATTTAGACTTGGTTTTAACAGTCTGTGTGCCTTTGCCTCAGTTAATCATCAACATGTACATGCATATTACTTAGAGCAAGAAATATTTGCAGAAAAATGTGTAAGTTGGAATCTTTATATACTGTGGATTCATTATTATTTGTTTGATACCAATGTTAGTGGGTATATAGAAACCATGAATTTAAATGTTCAACAAATTACAAATTTTCTATAAAAATATATGCAGACTTTGACAAAATCGCAAAATCAAGTATCCTCAATCCACATATATAAGTGAATCCACAGTACACTCACTACACTGTAGTATCATTTTCTTTTTCATTAGTGGTTTCTTTATATTGACTAACATCTTTTAAAACAAATGTATTTGTATTTATTTGTAAAAATTGTTTGTTTTTAATAGTTGTCTCCCTTGAAAGAACATTGTAACTTGAGCAGAATTATCTGGTATAGTCTTGTGTGATTATTTTTACAGATATATATAACTATTGATTTATGAACAAGTCTAAATTGAAAACAACGTTCATACCTATGATTGCATTGGATAAAAACCGCAATTTTTATATGTGTGCATGCAAAACAATTGATTTATGTATATATATATTTCTGCAGTCTTTTTACAGGACTCTATTTGATATTAAAGTATAATTCTTTTTGTTATATTATGCATCTGTACTTTTAGCAGATTATTGCCTCTTTGTTTCTAGCATGTATAGCAGAACTGTTTTTTTCTATTTTAGCCTGTCCGACATTTAAAGGGACCCGTGTATGAATTAGATGTCATTCCTTGTAAAGGTTTTGTGTTCCAATTGTTGGGCTCTACTGTAGACCAGCTAACAATGTGAGTTATTATCTTAATCGTCTTCATTGTTTTATTTTTTTTTTAAGTATAAAGCTTTCACAACACTGATACAAGAAAATTATTGACAACACAGTAGAATATTATATATATATATATGTTTTTTTAAGTTCTTGGTAGGTTAGTTTAAAGTAACTGATTGGCATAGAAAAAGAATGCCACCTACGATAGTAGAGAGGCATTATGTTTTTTGGTCTCTGCATCCGTTCATTCGTTCGTTTGTTCGTTCGTTCCTTTGTCCGTCCGTTCATCAGTCTGTCCCGCTTCAGGTTAAAGTTTTTAGTCAAGGTAGTTTTTGATGAATTTGAAGTCCAATCAACTTGAAACTTAGTATACATGTTCCCTATGATCAGGGCTCACGCTACCAGGCGACTAGGGCAAAGAAGTCGCTTTCCCGTCCGTCACTTCGCTTTGCCCGACCCTCAAAAGCGAAAACAAGTCGCCCTGTTGTTGACGATACTCGCTTTCAGTCGCTTTCGTCATCGGACATTTTCAATTTTTACCAAGTTGATAAAACATCAATTTTTTATTGATTATTAAAGAAATGCATACATAAACGATTCATTTTCTTAAGAAACGAGGTTTAAACATTGAATTTACCGTGTGTTGTAGGTTATTTAATAAAAAGACAACTTTTTATCACTGCATGCACTTCCGGTACTTGTTACTCAGAAAGCGTACATCAATCTAACTTTAGGCAGCAAAATAAGTTTGTTACTTCATTTGAAAGTGATAAAAGTTGCCTCCAGTAAATGTTTGATCCATTTATTGCATTAAAAACGTCATATTTCTTTCCAAATAGCTTATCAAACATCGTTTATTTTTGTAAATTTTCTTCGTCCGCCATTAACCGTTATCTAACTACGGATCGGAACCGGACCAGCTATGACGGAAATCCGTATTTTTACAATAATCACTACGGTCGATGCATGAATGGAACAGCTGACTGAAGAATATTGAACCCAAAAGGAAAAATTACGCATTCTACGCGCATTAAGAGACTTTTGGTTAGATCTACCGGTAATTGATTAATGTATATAATTCCATATAATTTATATGGATTGTTTCAAAATATTGATTAAAGTTGCTTAACCACTAATATCAATATATTATGGCCCAGCTTAACTTTGTATATATCTTTTGATGAGAAACACTGAATTTTATAAACATGATAAACAAGTTTTTAATTGAATTGTAATTCATATTTTATAACTTCTTTACCTTTTTGACATAAAAAAAAATCTTTTTAGTGCTAGATATTTAGTTGGTAGTTTCTCTTGGAATTTGAACTGTTAATTTAATTGTATACTCAGATATGAATTGAACAATATAAAAAGAACATTATTAATATATGAACCTGTATACTATAGTAAAATCAAAACATTGTAGCGCAGCGCGCGAAGGAGCACTTCTCTTTCAAATCTCACCACTTCTCCCTATCAGTTTCAAAAAGAGAAGTCACTTCTCCCTATGATTCTGAAGTAGTGGGAGCCCTGATGATATGATATTTCTAATTTTAATGCCAAATTAGAATTTTGACCCCAATTTCACAGTCCACTGAACATAGAAAATGATAGTGCGAGTGGGGCATCCGTGTACTATGGACACATTCTTGTTTTAAAGATGGGACAGGGAGTTATATGGTTTAAGAGGATATAAAATTATGTACAATTCAAATTTGGTTCTTTTATTTGCGAAATCATGATTTTTTCATTCTTTATTTTATTGATGATTTTATTCCAGAGATGTTTTAAAAATGACAGAATATTTACAAAGTAATGAAGTAGCACACAATGTGTTCATGACAAGAGGTACAGCATTTGGTGATAATAACAAAGAAGATACTATCAGAATATATGTGTGGCCAAGGGCAAAGTTCATTGGTAAGATTTAGTTCGAATATTGGCTTTAGTTATCTTGTTATATGCTATTATATAAAGTTTCGACTAGTTAAGGGAAATCACTATTTATGGTAAATCAATGATATTTGTTATGCAGTTGTATTAGCATTTACACATCTAATGTCCATAGAAAAGATCATTATAAAAGTTCTCTAATTGTTTTCCATTTAATAATTACTTTGAGCTACTATAAACATTTTGAGCTGCTAGAATTATTTGGGTTTTTTTTCAGCATGATTTTCAAAGAAGCACTGTTGTGCCAATCAATGTACATTATATCACTTATTTTGCTTAAGATATTAACACTTGGCAACATCTACCATGTAGAGGGAAGCAGGTAATTGCTTCTGAAGGTCAAATAGGAGAAATTATCCTTATTTGCAATTTGACATTTAAGATACAAACATATTAATTAACAATAAGTATACAATAAATTTCAACATGAATTATATATTATAGGGAACCTGGTACTTATTTACAGCTGATAGGAGTTGCATTTTAATAAATAGCACATATCAGTACCTGCTATACTTTCAAACAGTATAAAGAATTATATTTAAGCAGTTTCTTTATATCTGTAATTTCAGGAGTAAAAGAAGAAGCTGCCTTTAATGTAGCTGTAGTAGAGCTTGCTGGACATTTGCCAATCAAAGGTTAGTCAATATCACTTTTCTATTTTTATTTTATTTTAACCATCCAAGATCTACACAGGACAGCAATATAGTTAATACAATGTACTTCTAACAATGGTGTAATTTACGTTTTCTGATTCTGTAGATTAGATGAAGATAGACACTTTCAACAGAGCATTCAAATGAGCATACATGAGGTCTCCATCTTGGATTTTACTTTGTTTATTTGTCAGTGTTATATGATTTTAAAATATGCAAGCTTTAATACAAAACTGAGAATTTGTAATTATTTACTTTGAATGTAAGTTGCTTTAAACAATTTGGGATATTCCTGGAAAAAATGTAAAGGGAGGGGGATGGAAGTGTATTTGTATTATGAAAATTGTTCTGAACCTCATATCCATTAATTATCATACAAAGTGCCTTCCTACCTCATATATATATTTTTGGAATAGTCATTAGAATGTTTTTTAAAGATATACTTTAGAAATGTTATGTTATAATTCCATTTTTCCAAGAAAGTGAATGGTTTGCCATCCAATGTTCATCATGAACATGCCTGCATATTATCATAAAAAAGTTATATACTTAATATTATGAAGCTGACATTTAAATTTTTAATTTCATACATGTATGGCTAATTATAAAAATATGAAGTTTTTTTCAATATCTATATTATAATCATATTTAGGAAAGTTGGACCTTGTTCATTTTTAGCTCACCTGGCCCGAAGGGCCAAGTGAGCTTTTCTCATCACTTGGCGTCCGTCGTCCGTCGGCGGCGGCGTCGTCCGTCGGCGGCGGCGTCGTCCGTCGTCATTAGCTTTTTACAAAAATCTTCTCCTCTGAAACCACTGGGCCAAATTTAACCAAACTTGGCCACAAACATCATTAGGGTATCTAGTTTAAAAAATGTGTCCGATGACCCCGCCAACCAACCAAGATGGCCACCATAGCTAAAAATAGAACATAGGGGTAAAATGTAGATTTTGGCTAATATCTCTGAAACCAAAGCATTTAGAGTAAATCTGACATGGGGTAAAACTGATTATCAGGTCAAGATCTATCTGCCCTGAAATTTTCATACAAATCTGACAACCTGTTGTTGGGTTGCTGCCCCTGCATTGGTAATTTTAAGGAAATTTTGCAGTTTTTGGTTATTATCTTGAATATTATTATAGATAGAGATAAACTATAAACAGCAATAATGTTCAGCAAAGTAAGATCTACAAATAAGTTGTCATGACCAAAAATCTTCTTCTCTGAAACTACTGAGACAAATTTAACCATACTTGGCCATAATCATTATTAGGGTATCTAGTTTAAAAAAATTGTCCGATGACCCCGCCTTCCAACCATCATGGCTGACTTGGTTAAAAATAGAACATAGGGGTAAAATGCAGTTTTTGGTTTATATCTCTGAAACTAAAGCATTTAGAGCAAATCTGACAGGTGGCAAAAATGTTCATCAGATTTAGATTTATCTGCCCTGAAATTTTCAGACGAATCCGACAACCCGTTGTTGGGTTGCTGCCCCTGAGTTAGTAATTTTACAAAAATTTTGCAGTTTTTTGTTATTATCTTAGATATCATTTTAATATCTAATATATAATACTATTAATTATGATTTTAACCTTATTTTACATGATTTCCAAAGCATCAGTAAATACAGATGAGCGACACAGGCTCTTGAGAGCCTCTAGTTTAATATTTCATTTCAGTTGAGAAGTTATATGAAGATCTGACGGAAGAGTTGATTTTTGACACTGTACGAGAAGCAGCCTTACCTGAGGAGGAATACAAAAATATAAAAGACAATATACTCAAATTGTATCATAGTTGATAATAATTGACTTTTAGTTGTGCTAAATGGTTGCCCTGTAAAGTATGTTATATGATATACAATAATAGCATACAAGATTTAGGTTTAAACTAAAATGCAGTTTTATTTTACTTATTTTGATCAGACTATATACAAAATAAGCATATTATACCCATTGTTTGAGATTAAAGATACTATTTGTATCAGGCTAAGTGACAGGAACAAATGTTAGGCTTGCTGAGTACAAATTAATTTTATATCCGATATAATGTATAGTTATTCTCTTTATACTGCAGCCTAACCATTGGAGATGAAGCTGTTGATGTAAAAATTCTGTGAAGTTGACATCCTTCATCAGGTCATAAATAAAGATTATGGAAACATTTTGTAAACTTCACAAACAAATCTTGATATGGTCAGCAACAATATAAATTGATTGTGTGATTAGCATGGTTGCATATAATTTTTGATATATTTTTTAAAAAGTCTGTATACCTAGACTTACAGATTTAATGATATATTTCATAAAATTGAAAGCAGCTGTTAAAAGGAGACTTTAAAGATTTAATTTTGTTTTGCCTCTTTTGCCCCTTTAAATGTCATCATTTTACAATAAAAGGCACAATTTACAACATTGTATATCTGCCTTTAATATCCAAGTATCAGTAAGATAACCTTTGATATCAGTCAGCTTAATTAATTTGATAGCAGAAATTTTTCAGTAATAATTACATAACTGAACTTAAAAGATGTCCCTGTAAAATTTTTATGTATAAACAAGGGAAAGGTTTGATGTCAAAGTACAAAAATGATTGTTTTAGCAAAATGTCTGAATCCTAAATGGTATTAAGTAACTACATTTTGGTTGTGATTGTCCATGGTAATATGTAGAAGTGAATCTGCTCAACAATCAATGAACATAAGTCTATATTATTATTTATATCATGTGTCATTATTTACAGAGTATATAGCTAGGTATTGTAAAAAAGTGGTGTTCATTTATATTTATGCATAATATTTAAGTTTTAAAAACTTGCGACTGTTGGGGTTGTCATAATTAATTTTTTGTCTTAAGTAAATTTTGCCAGAGCATCTTCATCTCCAGAATTGGGTAAGACCTTAAGATATTCATACCACATTAAACCTATGGTAGTACATGTAGTACAGATGTTGGATGTCACGTAATTATCACATATCCAATAATCATTTGGTAATTTGTGTAGTTGGGTTGCTGTCTCATTGACATAAAGTCCACATATTTTATTCATAGTATACTATACTCTAATAATTATTAGCAGTTTCTGAGGAATTTAATTCAGTTTTGTTATAAATTTTGTATCTACCACCTGGCATTTATAGTGATCATGTGGTCAGTGAGGGTATACAGATTCTGAACATTTGGTATTCTAGGCCAGGGGCTCTTTTCACCAAAAAATGTCATGAAAATTCCAGTATACTTACTATCAATTTCAATCCTAAGTATGTTGTGAAAAGAGTTACTGGAATAAATGAGGCTTTTTTTTTGGGGGGGGGGGGGGGGTGTCAGCAATTCAATGTTTTTATATTTTTTACAAATTTTATAACAGTTGTTTTTCATATGTTATTGCTGTTATTAACCTTGATGTATATGTCGTGATAATAAATAATATATTTGTTGTTTTTTATCCTTTTTATGTATTATTTCTTTATTTTGGGATTATTAAAATTATTTTTTATACCGGTAGATGTGTTATTTATTGCTACTATGATACCAGTAGTTGAATTTTCTAATTAACACAATAATGTGCTCTTTCCATGGGTAATATCATGCAATCTACAGCATTTCCCATATTACACAAATAATTTGAATGAAGTACAGTGTGACTTTGTCTAAACCAACCCCATCAGGTGGAACATTTTTCTCCATTTAGGAAGGTGTTTTGCTACTCTTGAGTCCAATGATTTAATTTTCTAATAGTCTGTTATGGATATCACAATGCAAATGCAATCTGCAGCTCTTCTCATATTACAAAAAAGATTTGAATGAAATACAGTGGAGCATGTCTTAACCAAACCCCATCATACCTTAAGTTTTTGTTCAGATGAAATGGATATTCAGCTTTTTACAGGTTAATATACTAAAGAAAATTCAGTGAACATATAAATTAGAGGCTCTAAAAACCTGTTTCGCTCACTTAAGATCGAAATGAATCTTCCAACGATTGACACACTCCAACATTGTGGACTAGAAAACAAATCATGACAAAAATCTCTTTTTTGTTGATCTTGTATTGCTTATCCTTTTTTCTTCTAACAGTTTCTATCTTCTTTAGTTTTTGCACAAAACACAAAAAAGGGTTAAGAAATCGTCATGTATTAGCAATTACTCCTCAATAGTCTGCTAATGGTTACAACAAAATCTAACTTATTTGAAGATCTTGTCTTGCTTATAATTTTTGCTTTTTAAAGTGTCCACTTATCTTTTATAGTTTTCAAGATAATAGGCAAAAATACTACAAAATTGGTTAAAATTGTCATGAAAGAGCAATAACACCATAAGGAATCAACTGATGATTTCAGCCACGTTGACTTATTTGACGATAGATTTTGTTATTTACAGTATCTATCTATCTATTATAGTTTTCAAGATATAACGAAAAAAAACTAAAATGGGTAAAAATTGTTGTTAAAGAGCAATAACACCAATAAGGATTTGGTCATTAGACTTATTTGTAGATCTTGTCTTGACAGATCAAATTTGCAATAGCTCCAATAAGTTGTCAGAAGATTTCCGCCATGTTGACGTAATAGTAGATCCTGTCTTGCTGATCATTTGCTTATTTAAGTTTCTAACTATCTATTATATTGTTTAAGATATTAGGCAAAAAAATGGTAAAATTCGTTAAAGGGCAATAACTCCTAGAAAAGGTCGTTTGATATTAAGTAGTTTCAGTGGAGAAGATTTTTGTAAAAGTTGACGGCCAGGTGAGCTAAAAATCAGTTTCGCCAGCTTTCAGGGCATTCAAAACTCAATTTATCAAAATTTTTTCTTGAAGTTGAATATTGCTATTATGTCAAACTAATCAAATTTCAGCTAGTGTGAAAGAAGTTCTTTTAGAATGAATTGGTATTGCTATGAAACAAGTGCAGAAAGTTCTTATACTATTCTATTTCAAATTAGTTTTTTCCCCATATTAACAGTAATTTTTTTTTAAATGCTTGGTTGTTATATTTTCTGCAGTAGTGTGGTTGATATTTTAAATTCAAGCGATCAGGCAGGTTACTTTGAAAAAAATTTAATCAAAACACAAAATATTGTTCACCCATCATGTATAGTAATACTGAGGATCAGACTTCATCCTGGAAACATAACAAGACCACTAGAGTATAAAAACAAGGTAAAAGTCCGGTGATAGTAACCCCTGACAAGGTCAAATCATGGACTACCTCAACACAAATTGAAAGTTGGAATAAGATATTGAGGTTAATTGCAAGTTGTTGATGCTGCTGGAAGAGTGATCCCTATGTCTTGTCTACCATGAGTTTCATTGCAAGCTAGACATTAAAACAAATAATAAAAACATTGGAGTAAACTCTGCCAAAAGTTGCCTCTTGGTATTGAAATCAAGATTATTTTGTAGACAAGCTAGCTGAAAAACTGAAATTGTAATAAAAACTTTACATGACAGAAGTTTGTGTTTTTACTCTATATGACAGAAGGACAGAAATAAAATGAATCTGGAAATAAATAATATTTTCTATATAATATTTTTATTATAACTGGTTAAAAATTAACAATAACAGACAATATAAATTGTATTGTTGTAAATGAGAGATTTTCAAGTTCTTTATTTGTGATTGACAGAGACTCAAGTTAATGAAGAACTGCTAGTACAGCTTAAAATAAATAAAGATTTTAAAATGTATACTTATTGAGGTATGAAAATGAGTGAATAATTGTATCTACATGTATTATATGTCAGATTAAATATCAATCATATTTATTCATAAATAAATTCTATTTCAATCACTATAAGGGTAATTTTAGGCATTTTCTATCTGGTTTTCTTTATGAATTGACCATGCTTGTTGATGTTCACTCAAAGGATATCATTATTTAAAGTCATCCTTATAGATTTTCAGTACTTTCATTTAAAATGAAATCCTGGATCTAATTTAAACTGAGGATAACAACACTATGCCCATATATAGAATCAGCATTTTTCTCATCAGTTCAACGATCCACTGTGGACAGATGCTTTCTGAAAATCACTGATGTTGTTCAGAATAAAAGATCTGAAAATATAAATACACTGAATTTATAATCCCAAAAGCTAACAGTTCACTTTGTCAGTTCAATGGTATTACTGTTTATATGAATCACTAGTTGCAATACATTACTATAAAATTTAGCCTTAAACAGGTTCAATATCTTTATCTTCCTTTAACATTTTTCAAATGAAATTTCAATTTCCGCATTAAAACTTTGAAGATAAAATTGAGAATGGAAATGGGGAATGTGTCAAAGAGACAACAACCCGACCAAAGAACAGAAAACAGCCCAAGGCCACCAATGGGTCTTCAACACAGCAAGAAAATCCGCACCCAGAGGCGGGCTTCAGCTGGCCCCTAAACAAAAAATGTGTACTAGTTCAGTGCAAATGGATGTGACACTAAACTCCGAAACATATAAATGAACTAAAATTAAAAGTACGTTTAGATAAATAGCGTCTGGTTTCACCTACATACTGAATACCGCATCCCGGTTTGTTTCATGTGAGTAAATAGATTACTGTTAGTTTTTCAATTTATATCAGTTTTCAAAATTTAAGGAAAATGTGCGACCATTAAACGTGGGCCTTACCGTATTGTTGGTGGAAAGACGGGGACATGTAAGTCATTTTTTTGGCAAGACACTTATCGATAGAAGGATAACCACAATTTTTATCATTAACAATGTTAGCGATTGTAGTATTTCTAGATAAGCGATTTTTAAGAGCATTTAAAGTTGAATATTTCTGTGTAAAAAAATTCCATTTTTATTAATATGAGTTTTAGGGAGATATCTTTTTCAGGATAAGTAAAATTATTACAAAATTATATCAACCAGTTCTACACAATTATGTCTACAATTTTTAGATTGCACTTCCAAATAATGAATAAAGAGCTGCTGAACCAACGCCTCCTATGTTTTGTGCTGGTAGAGTTCCATGGTTTACTTAAGTGTTTTTGTCAATTTAGCGGTTTCAAATAATAAGTGAGAAACTTAAATTTCATTTAAAATTTTCCAAGGGAGATAATTTTGTTTAGTCTAATTGAGCTTATATAGCCAGATCAATCTACATTTAATAGATAAAACTGCAGATAAACAAAACAGGTTTAAAAAATATCTATATTAGGGAAAAAAACCATTTAAGTCATTTTAGCTAAATGATCACTAAAACCAATACATATGGGAGGATAAATTTTATTTTAACACTCTGTAAATTTTGTTTTGTTGGATACTTCTTCATTGATGTATACCCAAAAATCTTAGTATATTCATATTAAGAAAACCCAATTAGTTTTTTGGTCTTTGGTAATGCTGAATGGTTTGTTAATTTGTCTGATTAAATTCAATAATGCTTTCTAAACATTCTTACAATTCTTGATAGGTAATTTTATTGGTGTTTCTGTAAAATTTTGTTTTTATGAGGAAAGGTTGTTGGCCTGCCCTCAATCTCCAACCTGGAGAACCAGATAACTTTTGCTAAAGGTAACCGTCCTATAGATTGGTTTCCGACCAAGACTGACACATGGTAGTAATTGGACTTGCAAGTTGTACTTTTATTTGTGAAAAAAGGACAATTGCTTCGCACAAGTTTTGACTTGTGACAAAAAACTGACAGTACAATTACCTATGTTCTGTAAAAATCTTTTTCATGTATATTCAAGACAAAATGTTTAAAAATCTGAATACATATGAAAATTTTTGCTTCCATAAAAAAAAAAACATTCCCAATGACTGTGTTGGTATATACGGTCAGGCTCTACTTACTTTGCTCTCTGTGCCATTTCATTCCCACTCCATCTTGGACTGTATGGGTATTCACCAAAGGCCTGAATGAATGGCTTTCGCTTGGCATCATGATGATAAATAGACTGGAATTTGAATTCTGGTTGTTCTTGTGGAAAAAACTGTGGCAAATCAACTTAAAATAAAAACAAATACCAAGATGAACTGATTTGATTGATTGATCGATTATTGTTAGCTTAACATCTGGAATTGATTAAAAAGTTGAGGTCTACTGAATTCAGTTGTGTATACTATGTAGGTCATTATGATGTGCACTTTTTAATATATATTTAAATTTTGGGTTTTGACCCATATTTTGTGGTTTACTATAAATTTAAATGTGATAGTGTAAGGGGCAAGGTGTCTGATGGACACTTAAACTTGTTGTTTGTAATTTCATTCCATCTACAAAAAATATAAAATAAACATTAAATAAAATGCTTCGCTGGGCGCAGCTTGATACGACCACAGAGGTCGAACCCTGGACAGTTGGGGCAAGTATGGACACAACATTCAAGCTTGATACAGCTCTGAATTTGGATTGTGATTAAATATTTGACACAGCATAGGTTTCTGACACAGAAAGAATGTGGTCTAAGAACTTCAATTTTTTTAATTTACCTATTATGGTCCAATGTCCAAAATCAAAATACATGGTTAGATTCAGCATATCAAAGAACCCCATATATTCAATTTTTGTTGAAATCAAACAAAGTTTAATTTTGGACCCCAACTTGGACAAACTTGAAAACTGGTCCCATAATCAAAAATCTAAACACATGTTTAGATTCAGCATATCAAAGTACCCCAAGAATTCAATTTTTGTTAAAATCAAACTAAGTTTAATTTTGGACCCTTTGGACCTTAATGTAGACCAATTTAAAAAACGGGACCCAAAATTAAAAATCTAAAAACACGTTTAGATTTGGCATATCAAAGAACCCCAATAATTCAATTTTTGATGAAATCAAACAAAGTTTAATTTTGGACCCTTTTGACCACAATATGAACCAATTTGATAGCGGGCCTACAAAATAAAAAATCTAAATACATGGTAAGATTCAGCATATCAAAGAACCCCATATATTCAATTTTTGTTGAAATCAAACAAAGTTTAATTTTGGACCCCAATTTGGACCAACTTGAAAACTGGGCCAAAAATCAAAAATCTAAATACATGTTTAGATTCAGCATATCAAAGAACCCCATATATTCAATTTTTGTTGAAATCAAACAAAGTTTAATTATGGACCCCAACTTGGACCAACTTGAAAACTGGTCCCATAATCAAAAATCTAAACACATGTTTAGATTCAGCATATCAAAGAACCCCAAAAATTCAATTTTTGTTAAAATCAAACTAAGTTTAATTTTGGACCCTTTGGACCTTAATGTAGACCAATTTAAAAAACGGGACCCAAAATTAAAAATCTAAATACACGGTTAGATTTGGCATATCAAAGAACCCCAATAATTAAATTTTTGATGAAATCAAACAAAGTTTAATTTTGGACCCTTTTGACCTCAATATGAACCAATTTGATAGCGGGCCCACAAATAAAAAATCTAAATACATGGTAAGATTCAGCATATCAAAGAACCCCATATATTCAATTTTTGTTGAAATCAAACAAAGTTTAATTTTGGACCCCAATTTGGACCAACTTGAAAACTGGGCCAAAAATCTAAAATCTAAATACATGTTTAGATTCAGCATATCAAAGAACCCCATATATTCAATTTTTGTTGAAATCAAACAAAGTTTAATTTTGGACCCCAACTTGGACCAACTTGAAAACTGGGCCCATAATCAAAATTCTAAACACATGTTTAGATTCAGCATATCAAAGAACCCCAAGAATTCAATGTTAAAATCAAACTAAGTTTAATTTTGGACCCTTTGGACCTTAATGTAGACCAATTTAAAAACGGGACCCAAAATTAAAAATCTAAATACACGGTTAGATTTGGCATATCAAAGAACCCCAATAATTCAATTTTTGATGAAATCAAACAAAGTTTAATTTTGGACCCTTTTGACCTCAATATGAACCAATTTGATAGCGGGTCCACAAATAAAAAATCTAAATACATGGTTAGATTCAGCATATCAAAGAACCCCAAGAATTCAATTTTTGATGAAATCAAACAAAGTTTAATTTTGGACCCTTTTGACCTCAATGTGGACAAAGTTGATAACGGGGCCCAAAAATCAAAAATCTAAATACATGGTTAGATTCAGCATATCAAAGAACCCCATATATTCAATTTTTGTTGAAATCAAACAAAGTTTAATTTTGGACCCCGATTTGGACCAACTTGAAAACTGGGCCCATAATCAAGAATCTAAATACACGGTTAGATTCGGCATATCAAAGAACCCCAATAATTCAATTTTTGTTAAAATCAAACTAAGTTTAATTTTGGACCCTTTTGACCTTAATGTAGACCAATTTAAAAACGGGGCCCAAAATCCAAAAACTTAATACACGGTTAGATTCAGCATATTAAAGAACCCCAAGAATTCAAGAATAAAACCCCATTGAAATTGATCAAGAAATAAGCAATTTATACGAAGTATCTTCTTTTGCACAATACTGTGCAATTGAATATTTCTTGCTTTTGTGCAATACTGTACAATTGACAATTTCTTGCTATTGCGCAATATTGTGCTATTGGATATTTCTTGCTATTGCGCAATACTGTGCAATTGAAGATTTCTTGCTATTGCGCAATACTGTGCAATTGAAGATTTCTTGCAATTGTGCAATACTGTGCAATTGAAAATTTCTTGCTATTGCACAATACTTATTATATAATAATTTACACATCCTGTTTGGTGTGTAACTCCTACCATATCATTATTATTTGCTTTTAAATATTAATCAGAAATAACCAACTTAAAATGGAAAATTTTAAAAGAAAAAAAAAAGGAAAAAAAGAAAAAAAAAGAAAAAAAAAAATCCCCCCAATTCCTAAACGTTTCAGGCAATTACCCCCAAACTCAATTCCAGCTTTCCCTTTGTGATATGGAACCTTGTAGTACAATTTCAGAAATATCCAAACACTTACACACAAGTTATTGTCATGAAACTAGAAAAATGCTTGTTTTTTGCCCCTTTTTTGGCCCCTAATTCCTAAAATTTTGAGGCAATTACCCCCAAAATCAATTACAGCCTTCCCTTTCTGATATGGAACCTTGTGGTACAATGTCAGAGAGATCCATACACTTACACACAAGTTATTGTCTGGAATTACAAAAATGCTTATTTTTGGCCCCTTTTTGGCCCCTAATTCCTTAACTGTTGGTACCATAACCCCCAAAATCAATCCCAACCTTCCTTTCGTGGTATTGAACCTTATGGTAAAATTTCATGGAGATCCATTCACTTAAACTAAAGTTAGAGTGCGAAAACCAATGTGTCTTCGGACGACGCCGGACGACGCCAGACGACGACGACGACGACGACGACGACAACGACGACGACGACGACGACGACGCCAACGTCATACCAATATACGACCAAAAAATTTTCAATTTTTGCGGTCGTATAAAAAATGAATTTGTCTCTTGAACATTTTTTTGCAAAAGTATAAATAGTCAATCCAGAAATATGCTTTTTTAAAATGCATTTTTTTAAAGACATTAATGAAAGGGATTTGATGCCCCAATAAGATAAGGGGTGAAATATAACCATCAAAAGAGTTTTACATTAACGCAGTAATCTGTTTATGCTTATAAGAGGGTCTGGATGGGGTGTCCTTCATTTCTTTATTCTTTTTAATTTTTTAGCCTATATTCCTGTATTTTTTTACATTTTTTTCATTTGTTGTGTTTTTTTACTATTATTCTCTTTTCTCTAAACCCCATCCAGACCCTCTTATATGGCAATGTCATTTGTGTTGTTTGTGGCAGCAATATACATGTGTAAGAAAAATACTGCAAAAAACTAGACAATAGATGAAAGCTTATAACTTAGAATTTTTTTGGGCAGAATTTTCAGATAAATAATATAATTTCCTAGGGGATATGGAGCACAAAGTTCAATCTCAGTAACTTTTACAGTACAAGTAATGACATTTGAATAAAGAATATTGTATTTACTTACTTAGAAATATAAAGAAGAAATCATTCCATTCAAATAAAAAGCTGATCTTTGTGAAGGCATCCGCATCATACTCGAGTAATGATCTGTCAAATAAACAGAATTAAATAATAGTCACTGAATACTAGAAAAGTATAAGTTCATAGTATGTACTCAATATTTTTTTCTTTCTTAATATAATTTCATTCAAAAGATGTTTATAACAAACCATTAAAATAAATAAATGCTACCTTACTGTAACAAACAAAATGAAGAAAAAAATGGATGTTTGTAAAATTAAGATGCCTACAGTAAATAGTGTATAAAGATTTAATATATATTCAGGTCACCTTTTGGGGTTCTATATTTAGAAAGTTTATTTCAAATAAATAATGTATGCAGAGCATGAGACAAGAAATAGAGTCAACTTATTTTTTAATTTATTAATTCAATTCTCATTGTTTCAAATTCTATAGTGTTATTTATTGTTTGATTTTCACATGCTTTAACAGCATCTCTGGTTGATATCTTTATATTTTAAAATTATTTAACTTATTCCAAATTTTCAAAACATTACAAAACAATATATCCAAACACGAGGATAGAAAAAATGTACGAGGTCACTGACCACATTTCGTTTCTGCTACATTAGAGATAGTATAAAAAAACCCATTCCGGATTAACAAAATAATTTCTGTAAAAATATTGACAAACTTGTGTAATTAAAGATACTGTAATATTACAAATACTATTATAAATATAAATAATAATCTTATTTTGTACTTAGTAAAGACTGTAACAGTAATTTATTTATTCAGATATTTATACCAATGTTATTTATTGTTAATTTTACTGAATATTTGCCCGGGATATTTAGTGGTAAATTTAACAGGGATACTTGATGGAATGCTGTACACCAAGTTTTATTGTTAAACAGCAATATGTGCAATAAAGAATCAATTTGAGTGTTAAAAAAAAAGTAACTTTTCTAACAGGTTTTATAGCAAGTTTTTTTTATCAATAAACCTACCTTCCAAAATGACTTAAAAATGCTGCAATATATTCTTTTCTCTTTTCAAAATTGGCAACTACTTGGTCTACCTGCCAAAAAAATCATTTGAACTTAAAAAACATATCTTCCAATACAAATTAACTAGATAGTAAAATACACTGCATGACTGCAATTTTAGTTACTTTACAAGATAAAATAATGCAAAATGACACAAAGTAATCTCTATATATCATGTATGTTGACTCAACTTCGCATATAACTACCTCAGACAAAGTTCTTTTTATGTCTGTTTAGGTCATATAGCTTCTAGGTATCTATATATACTTAGCTTTCAACTGTTTTGGATTGAGCGTTCCTGGTGAAGTTAATTCCAGAAAAGTGCTTCTGACACACCAAAGATATAAAGTGTTATTTTCATTTAAAAATTTTTTTATTGTTAGAAACATTAAAAACAGCATAAAATATCTTTACTGAATTAAACTAAGAATGTTCAATATGGCATACTTTTTGCAATACACATGTATAATATATCAATTACCACATCAGCAATATTCCCTAGTAGGATAACCTGAAACAATACTTAACAGCTGAACCTACCTTATTAGATAATAAATTAGAAACATTTGGTACATAATCTAACAGACAACCATCTGATGGAAAGGCTGGTATTCTTAAATTTGCTGCACCTCCAAGTGCACTGAAAAAGAAAATAGGAAAATAATCAAGTGGTTATCTCCCTTACATAAGTAACTTAAAGGGCGAAAATTATAATCAATTTCTTTAATCCTTGACCTACCTTACCCTTTACCTACTTTTTGATATTTAAGGATCAGGTAATGTCTGACCATCATCCAATCTCCCCCATCCAATCTCCCCAAGATAAAAAGTCAATTTTTGGAACCAAGGGTAGATAATCCTACATTTTCTACACATTTCGTAATGTAATAATAAGGTCACTTACTGCTCAACTTTTGGTGATAAATATAACTGTGGTGTGATCTTTGAACTTGATGGAGATAGAAAACTTATGAGTAGGATGGCTGAATCTTCACCAGGATTATCCTAAAAAACAGATGTTTTTAAATTAAAAATATGTAAATGTAATATTTTCCAATCAGGAACAACCACTGTGGGATTGTCCATTTAACTTGTTACACTGATAGCCTCTTTTTTTCGGTTACAAATTTATTGTTTGATTTATGTGAATTATACAACCAGATTGTACATTATAGTCCTAAAATTGAATCTTTCTAATAAAGGCTTAAGTGAAAATTTGACAATCAGAAGCTATAGGATGTATATTTTTTTTTTTTTGTATATATATGTATATATTATATATTTCTTGATACTGAATTTTATTTTTTTTAACAACCAAGGGCTATAATAACAATAGTCCTAGTAAAGTAGGAACTATACTACACAAATTGAGTCACTTCAGAGAAACACAACTCAACTATGCTAAAAAAATATGAACATGTTTTACAGTTCTGAAATTCTCAGGATCAGCTAAAGAAAGAATAAAGTCTCAATATAAATATGTATTTGATACATGCTATGGCAAACTTACCTTTGTTAAAAATGGAGGTATTCTGGTAAAATCTACGGGTAATCTGATTAAAAAGCTAATTGGTCCAACTTTTGACTGGAAAACATAAGTGTAAAAAATCTATCTTTATAAGTATAAATCACAAATATGCCAAATTATTGTTTAAGGTTAATACCAGCTTGTTGCATCTGCTTAATACTTTAAAAATCTGTTAACATCACAATTTGTCTTCTATAAATGCATTTAAGGGTGAAATGCATGCATACTAATTGTAAGATTGCAGTCTTGTACATATTATTCAATGTTTACCCCAAAAACCATAGTCAGGTGGTGATTGTAGGGGTATTGTAAAATCCTGACTACTGAAAAACAAATAAAAGATAAAAAAAAATGTATGGGTGAAATTAAAATATAGCAACAAGGCAAAACATGATTGGTCAGTAACTTGAGCACATTCAGACTGATGTGAATTCAAATAATTGGACATATATGTCTACAATTACTTTTAAGTCAACTGATTAATCCTCTCTCAATTGCAATTTTGGGGCTTTTTATCAATTTTACATAAGAATGCTGTTCGTTCTCTATCTTCTTTATGATAATGCACTTTATTCAAAATTATGGCAACCACTCGATATTGTAAATGGCCTTAAGATATTTTCATGTTGCTATTATAAATCAAAAAAGGAGAGGGATTATTTCAGGAAAGCATGAACATAACTACTAATATTTCATTACATGTTATGAGGAACTGTTCTACTATATATCTTTAATAACTTTCTTTTTAATTATAAACAACTTACCTCAAACCTAAGTATATGTACTTCTACATGTTGTGAAGTGATATCTGACTGGTTAACTAGTGATGAATATTCAAACTGTAATCTGTCGTAAGCTTCTACTACATGTTCCTGGTGGGCCTTATACATTCGTAGAAGTTCTTCTATAACGTGGAGCAGGGCATAAGGATTATGATAATCCCAATCTACTAATGTCTATTAATAAATATATAAATAATCAATACATGAATTTACCTGTCAACATGGTCAAGGATTCAAATCTCAACTGCAGGCAATTTAGTACTTGGGTTGCTGTCTCATTGACCTTTAACCCACATCTCCTGTTATTTATATGAAATCAAGTAATATTCTTTCAAGAATATTGGTATTCATAGATGGTGATTTCTAGTTATTCATCTGACATGATTGCCAATTTTTTGTTTAACTTGTTTCTATGTTTGAAGGTCATATTTCTGATTTTCATGACAGTTTTTCCATTGATGGTTGGATAATAAGCAGGTTCTTGAGTTAATTATCATTAATTGTTTAGCCTTTAGGCTTTACTTATGTAAAGAACAAACCTAATTTTGATGTCACACTTTAGCTAAAATTAAAATACTCAAATATAATAATGACATCAATAACTATTTTTATGATTTATATAAAAGACCTTTTCTACATAAACATTTCAAAGGTTTGTTTGCATGCCAAGTCTTTTAAAGAAGTCTACTCAGGCATTTCGATTAAAACTGACATATTTTTCATAGAACTTGTGTAATCAAATCTATGCATTGCTTTTGTGAAATTATTTTGTGTGCAGATTATAATAATACAAATAAACACATATCATGGCCATGTATTTCATGCAGATGTATTGTTTCACAATTGTAAAAATTATTTAATATTTTTGTATTATTGATATTTGCAAGACATACCTTAATATCAGCTATGTCAGGGGAAAAATCTGTGTCTTCCGATCCAAATATAAAATCAGGAGATTCTTCTGGACTATATTTATCAAATATTACCTCCCCTGAAAAAAATATGTTTAAGTAAATATTAAAGCAAAAAGATTTTTGTTGTTGAATATTTGCAATAATTGTAAATATCAAACATTTCTACTATCTTTAAGTCAAAATACAATTATAAGAACCATTATGGAATATGGTTGAACGTCCCAATAAGAATATTCTGTGATATTTCTGATGTATAGTGTAGTCAGTGGTTGTCTCATAATGTAATACATTTGTAGCTTAATGTTTTTTGTTTGTTATATGCAGATTTGGTGTTGATGGCAGATTTTCTGATGTATAGTGTAGTCAGTGGTTGTCTCATAATGTAATACATTTGTAGCTTAATGTTTTTTGTTTGTTATATGCAGATTTGGTGTTGATGGCACTTCTTCTATACTTTTGCTTAAGTTAAATCACAACTTATTCAAACTAGGTCAGTCAGGACAATTTAGAGCTTGGTACATTTATATCATATAGACACTTGTCTTATGTTGACTTCTAGGTGTCTTTGGTTATTTGCATCGTTGTGTTGCTGTGTAATTGGTGTTAATCCAACATCTACTTTCATTCCTTTTAGTAAGCAGTAGTTTCCAAACCAAATCTTAGTTTTTTTATATCTATCTGATAGGTCTTTTTGATAATTTGTACCCAGTATTTTTATTAGCAAAATGTATAGTTTTAGATTAAACAAATCTTCGTAGTTGCCAATCCTAAATTTATTATGTACATATCAAAATGTACTTGTAAACAAATCAGGTATTTTTTGTTGTTTTTATATATGGATACTTACATGTTAAAGTCTGTCCAGCATAAGGCAAAAGTACTTTGAATCTGTCTCCTTCACAACCAGCAATAAATGACACAGACCTGTCAAAAATATAAAAATAATAACCACTGATAATTGTACATGTTCTGTTTAAGAAATCTTGACCTAATATTTTATAATCCCTTAAATCGGAGGTCCTGAAACTCTGAATCCCAAAAGGAATTATTTTTTTAATAAGCTCCCCAATGGAGCTGAAATAGTAAAAGGGTCAATTTGGGTCTATATATTGTACAACGGCTCTGAAAAGTTTTCAAGAAGAAGGATGCAAAATAAATTCCTGCTCATGATTTCATGTGAGAATGCGAGAAACATTTTATAATGACCCATTCTTTGCAGACATAAAATGATCGTGATCTTAAATAACACACAACTAATAGTTTTTATACTACTGGTATATAGAATAATTTAATGGACATTGTGACTGACAAGTAAAACAAACATGCAAAACCCTCCTGTTAAAAAACAATTTAAACATATATGGGGCTCATTACCACAAGCCTTATACTTCAATATCTGATTTAAGATACTTCCACATAAATCTTTGATAGTTCATAAATGATGTCTTTGAGTGTTGCGTATTTTCAGACAAGATTAATATTTATCTTTGTCACAGTTAACAACAATAAACTAAAAAATTAGGATTCTTGAAAAAAAATAAAATTGTTTTTAAATGATGAAGGAAACTTATCAAAAATTAGAGAATGTTCAAAGAAAAGCAACTAAGATAATAACATACCTGAATGACAAAAGGTACAAAGAAAGACGGCATAATGAAATTACCAACATTGAAATTAAGACGAATATGTCATGTATGTGGTGACATGATAAAGAAACATTCATAATATTAGGCCATATATACATTAAACATTAATTTATATTTTACCAATCATGGGCCCTTGTCAGGCGAAGATACATGAACATCATAATACAATTACTATTATAAAACATGCAAGTTTTTAGTGAAAATACACAGTGTAATACACAAAGAAATAATATACATGCACATGTATGACAGTAAAACAACTAGCTATCTGTTTACCTTGGAATAGGACTATACATGTACATCTGAATATGTACAAAACACAAATTGAGAAACCAGAGAAGATGAGAATAAGTTAGAAGAAACAATAGAGATGAACATCGATGATAGAGGAGCATCAGCTCCTACATTCATCTTAACCAAATTATGTAGGTAGGTATTCCAAATGATTATAACATCTTGAAAGGCTATTTCAATTTTTTGCTGTGACGCCATCCTACAAGGTGTCACAGCAAAAAATTAAAATAACCTCTCAATCAACTGTTCAAGACGTCATAATTTATCATTTAAACTAGTGCACTGTAGTAGGAAGGTACTCCTGAGGTAATAACAGAAATTTTGTATAAATAGATTACCCAGATTTAACATCTGTTAATCTAGCTTTCCCGCCACATATACCAAAACATGAATGTTCTATCAATGTTTCTGCAAACACTCGAATATCTGGAGAAATCCCTAAAAGAACATCATAATCGTTGTGATTCATTTCTGGACAGTTGGTATCCGAGTTTAATCTGCTTCTCCGGTTGCATTCGGTGATTATAATTTCTAATTTCCGGTTCAACCAAACACCAAAGAGATATTTAGCAGGCATGCAACTTTTTTTCTCAATAATTACCTTTGAGTAATTAATAGTCATTTAATTGTCTCTTATCCTCAAACTAGAAAAATGTCTATGCCGAAAAATTAAAGTGCCAATTGACATTTTCCTTACAAGCACTGGTTCTCTTTGCATATGCAAGTCTAGATCATGTCTATAACTTAAGTCTTTAAGTTTAACTTGTTTAACAGTTTATATATTTTCTGAAATAGAAACCATATTTGACACCTAAAATTTGTTTCTAGTTGTACACTTTTATCTCTGCACGCACATGCCCTCAACCTTAGGCCTTACAGTACCACTCTACTTCAAACCCTAAAAAATGTCCCTATTTTTTTTCCAACAGCCTCAAGGACATTCTTGTCAGATACGTGTACACTATTCCATAGGAGATCGAGTTCCGATATAGTTGTTGGTTCAATAATGATACTGAAAAAGTTGCATCACGTGACATTTTTTTATGTACATGCCTAAATTTTTACATGTAGGTGAATTAAGGAAATGATAATAAATGATTTAATTTGATTTCCATCTAAAGAAGTGGACCATACTGTTATTTTGACTTCCTCATCCAGATGAACACCTACCGTAAGGTTATATCGTCCGTATGTTGCACTGATCCTAATGCTGCATAGATTTCTGAAGTTTATGTGACATTTGTATTTAAAATTAAATCGCTGATCCACTGACAAGGTTATTAATTTATTAAAAGCATATTTTTCTGTATTTCAGATAACACAAGCCAACATGGCATATTGGACAAGAAGACTCCAGAGAATATTGATACTGTTAAAACAGTACAGTGTAAGTTTTCACAGAAGTAGTGTTTTTTCTTGTATCTTTGTATAAGTCTCTTTGTCCTCTAGGTTTTTCCCCAATATCTTTCACTTAGTAAATTTTTGTAGAGAAAATGGTTTTTTTTTATGTGCTACATATATGATTTAGACAATTATATACCCGAAACTCCTTTTCTTTAGCATATATTCTGATTTTTTCTAATAAAGACTCATCTATGTCTCATAATGTTTCACATCATGCACATAGACTAAAGTTTGTATTCATACCTGCCAACTTTTCCAAATCTCCATGGGGGATTTTAAGCGAAAGAGGAACTTATGCTGACCTCTGTTATTGTCATAAATGTTTTTAATCTACTTCTATATTGTTTGAATGAGTTTGTTTGTGCTTAAATACCCTTCTAACTCATTTTAATGCCTGTTTTGAGGTGTTCAAGTTATAAAATTAAGAATTTCACAATTCAGGTTGAGACCTCTCATGGGGGATATCCCCCAATAGTCAGGATAGTTGGCAAGTCAGTGTCTTGGGAAATGACAGTCAACAATATTATGAAATAAGGTATATGTACATAGAAAAGCAAATTTTAAACTTCTGAAATGCAGAAAAAACATTGAATAAGGCCCTTATTCAGTGCCATTCTGATCATTCTTGTTCTACCTGGTATGCTAGTATATATCTCAAGCTTTGAAAACAAAATAACAAGTGGCACAAAACAATCCACACTGGCTACGGCATGTAATAATCAAAGTTGTGATGGAAATTGAATTATCTAGTTAAGGATTTTGAAATGTTGAAATTAGAGTGAAACATCTTTGCATGAATCATGCTCACAAAATCTTGAATGATAGATGTCTATCTTACTTAACAAAAACGATTTCTAAAAATTAATGAACACCATGCATACATTTGTACATCCATAACCACAATACAAGATTTAATCATTACACCTATATCACGCTATAGATTAGGGGCATTGAATAAACAAGTTTTTATTATAATACAATTCAGGATTGAAATTCATTACTTGATGGAATTCAATCTACCACCAAGTTTCAAATGTTTAAAAAAAATAGGTCAAATGTCACTTGAGATGTACAAGGGAAGAACATGAGAGAAATGAGAGATAATAGATCAATAATTTTTTTGAATTAATAATACCATGTTCCTGCTAATGTTTGATTTTTAACCATAAAAGTCCCCATTGGAAGTATAAAGCTGCATAGCTTTCATGGGTTATGTTAGATTTTAAGATATTTAGTATTGTTTTGGGTTTGAAGTTTCAATGATCGATTAAAGGTTTTCCTTATGGAGCTACATACATGGTTAATGCATAGACTATTTACATGTCCCACTTCAAACGTTGCTTAGTTTGGACCACCCCCTCTTTAAGAAATCCTGGCTCCACATCTGTAACATACTATTCTCAGTTGTTAGGACTGGCTGGTATTTAGTATGATTTTTTATATTTTACTATTTCTTTTTTTTTTTTAGACACTTGTAGGAGACAGAGAATTGCCCAGAATAACAGTTCCCCAGAAGATGATGCTTAATTTAGAAAAACAAAAACTTAAAAAGGAAGTACAAAATCAGAAGAAAAATATTAAATTCAAATCACCTTTAATTATTTCATGCAAGCGGTCTCAATATAATCATCATAAAGGACAAACATATAGTGAGTTTGATCCTAAAGTTCTTGTGTCTCATTCATGGAAAAACACAAAATCTGCAGGAGATCACTTCACTATAAACAGTTATGGAAAGGTAAGAAAAGATGTTTATTTAGATTTTTGTTAAATTATATAGCACATAGAGATCTGTCTATGGTACAGGAAGCAATTGTAAATCATTTTCAACAAGGTTAGGAATTGGAAGTTTATCTGAAAAACCAGGATTTCTTGGGACTTGGTTCTTTATAGAAATAACATTTTTTGTTTAATTTTTTTTTTACAGAAAGTAGTAACTAGTTCTTATAGTGCCCTGCATCTTTCAGCTTTTTTGTATATCATATACCCTTTGTGCATTGCCATAAAAATGAGACATTACAAGGAAATATATTGATGTTAATGGACAAAGGCATTTGTTGTAATATGTCAAGTGTAACATAATAAAATTGAGAATGGAAATGGGGAATGTGTCAAAGAGACAACAACCCGACCACAGAACAGACAACAGCAGAAGGCCACCAACAGGTCTTCAATGCAGCGAGAAATTCCCGCACCCGGAGGCGTCCTTCAGCTGGCCCCTAAACAAATATATATACTAGTTCAGTGATAATGAACGCCATACTAAACTCCAAATTGTACACAAGAAACTAAAATTAAAAATAATACAAGACTAACAAAGGCTAGAGGCTCCTGACTTGGGACAGGCGCAAAAATGCGGCGGGGTTAAACATGTTTATGAGATCTCAACCCTCCCCCTATACCTCTAGCCAATGTAGAAAAGTAAACGCATAACAATACGCACATTAAAATTCAGTTCAAGAGAAGTCCGAGTCTGATGTCAGAAGATGTAACCAAAGAAAATAAACAAAATGACAATAATACATAAATAACAACAGACTACTAGCAGTTAACTGACATGCCAGCTCCAGACTTCAATTAAACTGATTGAAAGATTATGTCTTCATCATATGAATATCAGGCACAATCCTTCCCGTTAGGGGTTTAGTATCATACCATCATAACATATATGAGAAGAACATAACCCGTGTCATGCCAACAACTGGTTTTTAAATAAATGTGTTTAGTGCAGATGCAAAGACCCTATAAGTGAATCAATATCAACGCCAAAATATGCAATCTTTAATGACCTGACAACAGTATCGTAACTATATCCCTTCTTAATAAGTCTATTTAAAGGTTTTGTTAGTTTCAGAGGTGAATACTGACATTTTTGTGCTTTATAAAGAATATTTCCATAAAAAATTGGATGTGAAATACCTGAACGTATAAGAAGTCTGCATGTTGAGCTATATTTACGAATGATGTCCTTATACCGATGATAAAATTTAGTAAATGTTTTGACTAGTTTGTGATATCGAAAACCCTGGTGTAATAATTTTTCAGTAATACATACATTTCTCTCGTTAAAATCTAAAACATTGTTACATACACGAGCGAATCGTACAAGTTGAGATATATAAACACCGTAAGATGGTGACAAGGGAACGTCACCATCTAAAAATGGATAATTAACGATAGGAAATGAAAAATCATCTCTTTTATCATATATTTTAGTATTAAGCTTTCCGTTAATGATATAGATATCAAGATCGAGGAAAGGGCAGTGGTCATTGTTAGTATTAGCTTTATTTAAAGTAAGTTCAACAGGATAAATTTCTTTAGTATACATACTGAAGTCGTCATAATGCCTTATAGTGGTTAGGTATATTCACATCATCTTCTTTTCAGAATCCAGCCATACAGAGAGATAATGAAACTCAACACTTTACAGACTTCAATATAAACCCAGAATTTCTACCAGTGCTTGAAAGTATGAACATTACCTCCGCAACTGTGATACAGGTATACATTTAAACACTGATAAAGACAAACAAAGTCCAAAATAGAAACATTTACCACAAGAACAAACTCCTTAGTTCAACTTTTACCTCAACCTTTTTACGTTGTGGTAGTTAAGTGGTACATTTTTATTTCGGAGCTGTAATTTTTAACAAAAGTGCTCTAATGTTTCAAATTTCATCAATAGATAAGGAATTTGCTTTTTATTTGTATGAATAAAAGGAGATCTGGAGTAAACATCATTGAGAAAGCAACCCAAAGACAAAAATAGCCAAAAGACATCTACAGGGCAACATACAGTCTTCAGCAAAAGACATGTGTCTATACAATTCATCAAGCTTTCCATGGTCCCAATTCTATAAAAGTTGTGAAATTGTTTTACAGAAACTATTAAAGATCAGCCATCAACACCCAATTCTTCAAATAACAAAAAACTTTAAAATATGACATACGATAACTTCTGACTATGTTCCTGATTTGGGACAGGCACATGAAAATGTGTTTGTTTATAAATTTCATAGCAAGAATCTATAAATATGAAATAGACAAACAGTTACATGTTTATCATTTACCCTTTATAAATTTCCATTACAAAATTTTTTCAGTATGACAAAAACCATATAGGCATTTATCAATCATCAGAATCAAATGTCTCGCAACAAGATTGAAAATCAGCCACTTTATTATCTCTTTGCAGTTTCCTTTTATTTTATGAAAATATTCAATTCTTTATAGTTAAAGCATGGAAATGAACATGCTGCAGGAATAACTGTTAAAGCTTAGCAGCCAATTTACATGTTGCAGTATATCATAAAATATGCATGCAGTGTCGTTTCAGTTTACAAGCATTTTCAAAAGTATTGAAAAATAGTGTTACAGTTTGATTACAAGGACTTTACCTCAGATTAATGGAGTTTCTAGTGACAATTTTAATTTTGTTTTTTTTAATTTTAATAATGCTGAAAAAAGTGGATTTGTTTAGGCCACCCTTTACAAATTCTTTGTTTGATGTTGCCTATCCTTGCCTTGTAAGGGTGGGTAGATAGGTAGGGATTTTATTTTTTTTTTGCCAACAACATAAGTTATATGTTTTAGACAAGAAAACGACATAAGAGCAGGAAAAAATCTTAGAAAAAAAAAATTTGAAATGTGTCATAAAACTTTTTGGGTAGGTTGGTTTTTAGCTTTTAAGTTGGGTAGGTAGGCAACATCGAACAATTTAAATTTTATTTTTGGCCTTGCATTGTTTTCAATTTCCGTTTACAGAGTAAATCTATTGCCAAAGTTTTAGAAGGTGAAAATATTCAAATAGCTGCAGAAACAGGTAAGAATTTACAATTCAACTATTTCAATTTTAACAAACAGCCATTACTATCAGTTTTTAAGTAGTAACAACATTATTTTGACACAGCTGCACAATGTATGAAAGATTTTATTTAACTTTTAAAGCAATTGATTTTCCGTGGTGATGATATACAGGTTTTCTTTTTGCATAAGAAAAATAATAAAATGATACTGTAAGATATAGGAATCACATGAAATACTGGACAGCAGACCAAACCAACCACCATCTTATTCTTGTAATGGCCTTTCTCTTAATTGAGAATTCTGGAAAAATGAAACACTGAGTTTATTATCAGGCACATTACAGGTAGTTTAAACATTTGACTTACATATTGAAACTTCCAACATGATGACATTTTACAATTGGGCTAAACCATATACCAGTACTTTGACTAGAAAATGACAAACTCTATCAGATACCAGTAAAGTAAGAGTACTTTTTTACTTATACAAGTAATTATTATGTAAGAGTTAAATAAAGAAAGAAAACATAGTAGCACAAAGTAAAAACATACAATTTCATAATGAACAAAAGATGTTTTTACATGTGTGAACCATTTTGTTTTAGAGAAATAGTTTAAAATAAGATATTAAATATTTTTTTTCATTTTCTTTGTTTGCATATCATGCACAAAGTACCATAGTTGTAATATTACAATGTACTCCAATTTTTGACATTTTTACCTATTATGTCTGTTTTTTTGCTCACACATTGTTGTCAAAAATAATGGAATGCTATATATATGACTGTCATACAAGTGAGAGGTTTTGCTAGCAATAAAAACCAGGTTTAATCCAGCATTTTCTACATAAGGAAATGCCTGTACCAAGTCAGGAATATGACAGTTGTTTTCCATTTGTTTGATGTGTTTGAGCTTTTGATTTTGCCATTTGATAAGGGACTTTCTGTTTTGAATTTTCCTTTGAGTTCGGTATTTTTGTTATTTTACTTCTTTTTTTTTCTTTCTTTTTTTTCATGTATTAAAGTAGTAGTATCCAATTTAAATTTAGATGATCACTACATTTGTTATTTTTTTCTGGGGTTCTTTTTGGGCAATTCATGTAACATGTTCATACAAATTGCTCCACGGTCATAGTTTCACTTTTATATCAGGTAGTGGTAAAACATTAGCCTATTTATTACCCATTATGGAGTTGATATCAAGACAGAAGAAAAGTGAAGCTGAATTTGGTACAGATATTCCAGAAAATAGTCCAAGATGTATCATATTGGTGCCAACTAAAGAACTTGTACAACAGATAAAGGTACAGCATTTAAAGCAAAACATATAGTTTTTGTTTCTTTGTGATATTAAAGGGGAATTAATAAAGTTTTTTCTCATGAATTGAAGTTTTTTCTCATGAATTGAATGTACATGTGACCTACTTAGGTTCTAAGTAAGGTAAAAGTTTATGTGAATAGTTACAGACCATGTGTATATCTTCATTTGTTTACTTTAGATGTTTTTTCTCTCTATTTTTATAGATTTTTTTTAAAGCTAAATTGGTTAAATTCAGATTCAAGACTTTGCTTGACTTATTATGGAATGAAATATTTGTATTTTCTTATGCATGAAAGTCTCTTAAAATGATATAAGAGATTTCTAGTGCATGAAGTTAAAAAAAAATGCAGTCTTTTTTTCATCATTCATGAATTTAACTAAAACCAAAATAATATGTTTTTATATATTCAGGTCCTTGCAGACAAGTTTGCTGAACAGATGAACTTTTCTGTAGAGACTATGATTGGAAGCTTTGGAACAAAAGTAGGTCTTTTATTATCAGCTTTCAAAAAGATTCTTCTCTTTCATTGATTTCGATCATTTTCATAAGTTTTCAGTTAGAAGGAATTAAATTCTTAATTTATTTCATGGAATAACACTACATTCATTTTATTGTTAATTTTATTGAAAAGGTCCATTTTACAGTTTTCAGTGGGCTTTCAGTTCAGTGAAGAAAATAAATTTTACTCAAACATTCATGTAACACATGTTTGTGGACTATTGACTATGTCTGACAGACTATAGGTATTACTGATAAATGGTGAAAATTACATGTTAAATGATTTTTTTTTCTTTCTCTTACATTAGAAAAAGTTGGCTTATCCAAAGAAATGTGACATTGATATACTGATATCAACTACAGGGATGTTAAGGAAATTCTTAGGTGGCAGTAAGTATGCCAAGAATTATTTATTGTATGTAAGGATTGGGGTCCTTAAGATGGAAGATGCCAAAAAATCCTATTTAATTCATGTCATCCAATAAAAAAACTACCATCCAGAATATACTTTATAGTAAGTTTGTGAATTTTTGTGTTATCAAATTCCTGTGTTTCTGTTCTGTTTTGTTATTGCATGTTATGGGTTAATTTTTGTCTCACCTTGACGAAGTCAAAAAGCACGGAGTCAAAAAGCGAGACATAGGAACGCTGTGTCCGACGTCGGTGGCGTCAACAATGTTTAAGTTTGTGATTAGGTCTAGTTTATGGTGAACCACTAGTGGTAGGTCAATGATATTTGATATGTAGTTGTATAAGCATTGGCATATCTTATTTCCATGAAGATTATTTGGCTCTGCCCCCTCAGTCATGGTCTATTGACTTTGAAACTTTTGCTTAATTTACATGTTTTAGTTTGTGATTAGGTCATTTCAAGGGGAACCATTAGTGGTAGGCCAATGTTAATTGGTATGCAGTTGTATAAGCATTAGCACATCTCATTTCCATGGAGAATATTTGGCCCCGGCCCCTCAGTCATGGTCTATTGACTCTGAAACTTTTGCTTAGTTTACATGTATTAGTTTGTGATTAGATTAGTTTAAGATGATGTGCTAATATTAAGTCAATGATATTTGGTATGCAAATTTATTGGCATTTGCAAGTCTCGTTTCCATGGAGATTATATAGGCCCACCCTCGTCATGGTTCATTGACTTTGAAACGTTTACATAGTTTACAAGTTAATGTTTGTGTTTAGGTTTGTTTAAAGGGAACGACTTATGATAAGTCAGTGGTATTTGGTATGCAGTTGCATTAGCTTTGGCACATCTCATTTTCATGGAGATTGTTTAGCCATGTACCCTCAGTCTTGGTTCATTGACTTTGAATATTTGCATAACTTACATGTCAAAGTATTGCTATTTTAATTTCAACATTTGCATTATCAAAATTACAAAAAAGCTAGTCAAATCTCTGTGTTAACAGTTTATTTAGTGTTTTATATTGTAGTTTAAGGATGTAGTCAAGTGAAATTTTAAAAAATCTGGAATTTAAAATTGGTACTAAATAAATTAGAAGAGCATTAGTAATGAACAAAATAAGCTAAACATATTGATAGATTATGGAACTCCTTTAGGGGATATTTGATTTTAAAAAAAATGGCGGGAAAAGGCTGACTCAGACTTTTACCTAATATCTAGTATTGGCAATATTTGGGTCTCAAATCGTAAGAAAAGAAATTTAGAATCTGCTTAAATTTTGGTTATTACCTTTATGAGCTATTAAAGTCTTCTATGAAAAGAAAAGTGGGTGATATGGGGCAAAATATTTTACCCTATATAGTAGGGAAAAGCCCAAGGAGTCCAAAAATCTGACAAAAATTCCTAAACCTGAAATGACTACATCCTGAAAGGGTTATGTGCAGACACTTCAAAGTTTTTTTACTAACAATATTATGCAATAAATTGTAAGTCTTACTTTTTAGTGTTTACCACATGATTTATGTTAAAAAGAACTGTTTATTTGATTTTTTGTTTTTAATTTTGATGAAATATCATGAATTAATTTATCTCTTTTTTTTTTAGGAATAATAAAACCCTCCCATGTGAGACATTTAGTCATTGATGAAGCAGACACATTACTAGATGACAGTTTTAATTCAGAAATTAAATATATTATCAATAAATTAGGTGTAAGTTATACATATTAACTTCTTTGACAGGGCTTATATCAGGATTTAAAAACCCAGAACCAATACATCAACATGTATATTCTAGGTATAAGGGAAAGTTTTCTTCTTTAGCATTTTTACAATACAATGTTCACAATATTGTTACAAATTTAAAATAATGTTGACTTTTGAGTGCATTTATCAATGTAATTGCAGAACAATGGACAATAATATGAGATTAATTATTACAATTTCAGGAAATGCTACATGCAAATAATTGTATCAGGATTTAAATTATGGGCTTTTATTCAAACCTGTCAATTTTTTGCATTAATAAAACATTGCAAAATTTTCTGAATTTACAATACCATCTTTGATGCTGGATGGCATCCATATCATAAGTCTATATATGAATTGCTTGAGTATAGGCAATTTTTGTATGAATTCAGTCGAGGCTATTCTTATCTGACATTCAACACCAAATTCCTTTAACTGACAAAAAAAATATGAGTTTGTGAGCATAAAATCTCCTTCAGTTTGATAATATTGGGATGGAAGTAAAAATGACAGATACATACAGTAACATATGTTGTGTAGTATTTTGTGTCAATCAGTTGATATATACAGAAAGCAGAACCATATCAGGGCTGTTCCATTATTTATCGGTTGGGGGATGGGAGGCACTCAAGTGAATAAAAAAAATTGGTAGTTGTATTTTGCTTAGAATTTTGTAAGAATTCTAAGTAAATGAGAATTTTTATTTTATGGGTGGTTGGGTCTTAAAAAAGTGCCTCCCATCTCCATGAATTTAATTCTGGAACAGCCCTAATGTGTTGTGTAAGAAAATAAACTTAATTTTTCTTTTTAGGTTTCAGAGAATATTACATCAGAGACAAGTGCAGCAGGAATGCAGCTAGTACTAGTTAGTGCCACCATGCCAAGAAGTTTGAAAACTATTCTAGGTGATTCATTTCCTGTGAGTAAAACAGATTAATTCTGATTCAAATTTGTAATGTAATATGACATGTAATGTAAGTTTTGATTTGATGATGATTGCCATTAATTCCATGGTTGGCAGAATCATTGGCAACCATCACAGTAACTTTTTCTGGAATAGTTCAATTTTTTTTAATTTTAACATTATTGAATTGGAATATTGGAACAGTTATGTGTCAATTGGTGTTTAACACTGTCACTGCTTCCAACACAATAAAGTTATTTCTAAAGTGTATCTGAATTCAATTCTTTGATACAGGAAAAACATTTTTTTATTGAAATATCATTTATGGTTTATAAGAGCCTTTCTACAGAAGCTTGTTCAACAAAAGTTTGTTGGATAAGTTTGAGGGAGGTTTATTTGTAAAAGAACCTTAAGAAGTCACCGTATTCTATTGCTGTTAGTGATATAATTGCACATTGATCATTCATTATACCATAGGAACAAGTTTTGAAAATTAACATACTTTTGGATCAGCAGTCATGGAATAAAGATTTGTGATCTTTAGTAAAACGATGAACATTCAATGGTATATGTGTACTCCTTGTAATTAATAAAAACCTTTGTTTTAGATTGAAGACATGGAAAAAGTAACAACAGATTTTCTACACCACTTGATGCCACATGTTCCACAGAAATTTTTAAGACTAAAACCATCACAAAAAGCAGGTTAATATAATAATTACATTAGATAAAATTGAGAATGGAAATGGGGAATGTGTCAAAGAGACAACAACCCGACCATAGAACAAGTATGTTTCATTATAATACGTTATTCTGATTGGCTACACTGCAATCTCGCGTTATTCCTTAATCAACTCCATTACACAATAAAATTTATCATCCATGATGACACGAGGTCCCACAATAAAGTGCACAGGTAAATTAAATAAAAACATTATAAAAATCGTGTTTTCATGATCCTAGCTAAAAAATGTAATTATAAGTAATGAATACTTCTTTTTGTAACTTCATAGGGTTGTAAAAGCGTTGACCATGCGCACATTTTTAGAATGAAGCGTGGAAGCTTCATACAAAATGTACTTCGGTCAACGCTTTTACACCCCAATGAAGTTACAAAAAGAAGCATTCAATTCTTAAATAAAATATATGATACTGTGAATTTATTATTAATCTTGGGATACTATTTTTTGTGTATTGTGTGTGTAAAGGGGAACCACAAATTTAGATATTCACAACGAAACACACATTTTCTATAGGCTTTAGTCAGACTTTGGCACAACCATGAAATAAAATATCCATGAAAATATAATTTTCCCTTTATATACGAAAATTGGTACCCAAGATATTAAATGAATCCACAGTAGCCATATTACAAGAAATGGTGTTCTATCTGTAATAAGTTTCAAAGAATGTCAGAAATAGAGAAGGATTGTATTTCTGATGATGATATATACATCATCAAAAATTGTTTCATCTTTAAGTGATAAGAAAAACAAGACCATACCATGGCCAAAAAGATAAATGACAAGAGGACAAACAACAGTCCACAGAACACTACACAGAAAACTAAAGATTGAGCAAAATAAATCTTATCAAAAACTGGGATGATATCATGTTCTCTGGAAGAGTAAACAATTTCTACTCCACACTTAAGGGTTGTTTTCATTTGGGAAATAAGTGCACATGTTCAGAAGTCCCATCAATAATTAAAAAGCTATCCATTCAAAGGTCTAAAAACATTTTTAACAAGATTTGTAGTCCAGTCAAGCATTATAATACAAAACAGATGAAAAAATGAAGATAGATAGATGGATAAAAAAAACAAAGCTTTATAAGTAACCACCAAAAATTCTTAAAGGAAGTGGACATTTTTTCATATGATTTCAATCATCTTTGAAAGCTAAGTGGACAGACTCAGTTTTTAATTTCACCCAAGCTGAGTGAATTTCTATAATCTGCACTCAACCTTTGTGCTGTATGTGAATGAATTCCTTGTTATAGTTTGACAGGTATTTTTTTTAATCAATGAAATCAGTAGTTTCAGCAGAATGGTTTTTTTTTTTTTTTTCAGAGGAAATTGTTTTAATGTCAAAGAAATTAACAAAGAAAGGCACTCCAGCAATGATATTCTGTAATGAGCATGCCAGATCAGTTTGGTTGTCAAGATTTTTAAAAGAACAAGCTATTGACAATGTTCTTATGAATGCAGGGATGACACCCTATGTAAGTTACAGTTTTTCTTGTCATATTCAATTTAACAGTCCTACAATTGATTCTTTTATGTATTACTTAATCTAATTAAAAAAAACCTTAGGGAATATGAGTCCACCATTATCAGTATCAAACTAGTGTGTTTGATGAGGAAATTAACACTTATAAATCTGATACATCTGAAGCATTTTTTCATCTACCTTCATCAGAAATGCTCAAAAATATACCGATTCCCTTTTTTGCACTTAAAAATACTTGATTTTTCAAGAGTTCAAATTTGCTTTAGATTATTTTACAGTGAAAGGTTCTCCTAAATATTATCAAAGATCCTGTTTAAAGCATCAATGTAAAAAAATCACTTGATATATATCCTACCTTAGTTGTCATATCAGTTTCAAAATATGAAGTACCTCAGTTGAGAGATTCAAACTCAGTGTCTTACCTTTATATAATTTACTGTGTCTTACTAATTTGACCTGGAAAAAATAATTGTGTTAGGTAGCAGCACAGTAATGGGTTCACAATGTATTATAATTGTGTTTTAGACCTTTGAGTTTAACTTATTTACAAGTTAGCTGTATACTGTAAATTCAGAAATTATTGCGTGCATTTATTATTGCGATTTTGACATTTTATACTTAAATGCGATTTTAATTTTTACGATTTTGAGAAAAATCCTGTTTAGTTCATATAAATTATTTCAAAATGCGAGTTTGAATTATTGCGTTTACAACTCTGTCGCATTTGTCGCAATAATAAAAACCTCGCAATAATTTCTGAATTTACAGTATGCATACCTCATTATCGAGATTCCTTGTATACTTAAAATTGTTTTAAAATTAGCAATGTGAGGGGGAGGGGAGGATATGAAATACTTTCTTAGATTGATTGCTTTCAAAAAGTTAAATCACAAAAGTACTGAAATCCGAGGAAAATTCAAAACGGAAATTCCCCAATCAAATGGCAAAATCAAAAGCACAAACACATCAAACCAATGGACAACAACTGTCATATTCCTGACTTAGTACAGGCATTTTCTTATGTAGAAAATGGTGGATTGAACCTGGTTTTATAGTGCTAAACCTCTCACTTGTATGACAGTCACATCAAATTCCATAATATTGACAAAGAAATACCATCCTTAAAACACAATAACATCAGAAAAGCCATCATTATGAATTTGAATGGACAGTTTGGAATTGCCTAGGCTTGCATAAGGGTTTGAATGTTTTAAATTTTCATATTGTTAACTGTTATCAATTTCAATATTCTATTCTGATTAAACTTGTTTAATGCTTCAGGAAAGAAAAGATATATTTGAAAGATTCCAGAATGAAGAGAATGATATATTAGTATGTACAGATATAGCCTCTAGAGGGTTAGACACTGTCAGGGTGAGTTTTTCTTCCTGTCTGCTGTATGTGTAGTTTTTTTTCTTCAGTATTTTTCATAATACCTTTTTAGCTTATAACAAAATTTAAATAAGACTGCTATCTTGGAACATTGTTTTTGATTAGGACGTTATCTTACAATTGAACTAAAGCAATGTCAAAATCAATCTTCCAGCTAAAAATCCTTAACAGGATCATCAAATGAAAATAAAGAGGTTAGATATTAAAGTTATTTTTGACAGCTTTTAATTTATTTTCTTTATAATAATAATTATATTAATATTTATTTCTATTTACAGGTAGAACATGTGATTAATTATGATTTCCCTAATTTTATGTCAGACTACATTCATCGTGCTGGCCGTGTAGGTCGAGTTGGTTCCAAATCTCAAGGTCTAGTCACAAGTTTTGTGACATATGCTTGGGAGGTTGACCTATTGTGGAATATAGAGGTAATAATTCAAAATACCATTGTCAAGTTAAAGTTCTGATTTTTTACAATATATGAATAACACATAGATGTGATAGAGCAGATTGTTACAACGAAAAAACTTTGTCAACTGAGGCAAAGCCCTTTTTTCAAGGGATAACAATCACCCTTTCAGATATGTGTTATTTAATTTATTATACTGAATGTTCGGTTATTATTGTCTTTTAAATTTTAAATTAAAAGTAATAAACCATGACATCTTGTATATAACAACCATCCGTATAAATAAAGTGACAACCAATCAAGTGTCTGCGTGAACATGGTGAAGGGTAATAGAATATAAGCCATGTAATAGTGTAAGAAGATGAAATTGCTAGATTTATTACAGTAAACTGGAAAAATGATGATGAATATTCTCTATCAAGAATAAGGACAAAGTAGTATATACTGTGGATTCACTATCATTTGTTGGATACTGATTTTGGGGAATTTTGTTGGTAGAGGAAAAACAAGAGAGAATATGATTGTTCTACTAAGTATAAATTTCCTGTAGGCTTGTATGGAAACTGTTTCTTCAATATTCAGAAAAATCTATTTTCCACAGAACACGATATTTCTTCAATCAACAAAAAATATCACCCATTAAAATAAATGAATCCACAGTAAACCGAATTCAAAAAATTTTTGTCTCGCCTTGACAGAGTCAAAAAGCGAGACATAGGTATGCTGTTTCTGGCAACGGCGACGACGGCGTCAACAATGTATTAGTTTGTGATTAGGTCTAGCTCATAGTGAACCACTAGTGGTAGGTCAATGACATTTGGTATGCAGTTGTATAAGCATTAGCACATCTCATTTCCATGGAGAATATTTGGCCCCGCCCCCTCAGTCATGGTCTTTTTACTTTGAAACTTTTGCTTAGTTTACATTTATTAGTTTGTGATTATATCAGTTTAAGATAAACTGCTAATGTAATGTCATTGATATTTGGTATGCAAATTTATTGGCATTTGCAAGTATCGTTTCCATGAAGATTATATAGCCCCACCCCTGATCATGGTTCATTGACTTTGAAACTTTTACATAGTATACAAAATGCAAGTTAATGTTTGTGTTTAGGTTTGTTTAAAGGGAACGACTTATAATAAGTCAATGGTATTTGGTATGCAGTTGTATTAGCATTGGCACATCTCATTCCATGGAGATTGTTTAGCCATGTACCTTCAGTCATGGTTCATCGACTTTGAATATTTGCATTACTTACATGTTAAAGTATTGCAATTTTAATTTCAACATTTGCATTATCAAAATTACAAAAAGGCGAGACATATCTCTGTGATAACAGTTTATTATCAACTATTGGTAGTAAACCAAGTTTTTTTTATAATGACGCTTGTAGTAATTTAGGGCTTCAGTGTCCAGGTGGTCTAAGTAGTCCAACTGGTGTAACACTAGCTAGTCAACACTGAGGTTGTGAGCTGGATCCAGCACGAGCTAGGTGCACTCCAATCTAATCTTAATTCACTATATAGCTAGGATTGTCAGTTTTCCTACTGAAGGTCGGTGGTTCTCTCCAGGCACTCCCCCTTCCTCCACCAACAAAAACTGACTGCCACGAAATAGCACAATAGTGTTTAAAGTTGAGTTAAACACTAATCAATCAATCAATCAATGTAGCGATTTAGGATTTGCTTCTTTATGATCTATATTTAACATACACTATCATAAAATATTATTTCTACCGATCATCCCGTGCGGAAGTCGTCAAGAACACAGTATTATTTTATTTAGGGGGTTCACTCGATACACGTAATTGTTATTAGTCTTAACTTCAAGGTTAATCAAGCAAATTTATTAAACAATGATTTTATACGTTTTTTTTTTAACCTTTACACAGGGCTTATAAGGGTCTTATCTCTGATCTTATTTCTGTGTCCACAATTATGATTCTACGTATTTCACCTGTATCTGTTTGGACAATTCCATGGACGATTCCATACACCATTATGCTTAAGGGGTTTTCTTATGTCATGTCAAGATAATGTATACTATTTACCGTTGTCTGCTACAAATAATATTCTATACAATTAATATTTTTATTTTCAGACTGCAGCCAGGAAATCCCAGGAACTACACAATGTCAATGCAAATATCAAAAAGAAACTGGTTGGTAGGGCAGACAAAAGAGAATTTGAACATGAATAAAATTATACATAATTTCTTCATTATTACAGATTTCCACCAGTAATGAAAATTAAAACTTGATGATATCATGGAAAAAACAAAAGTAATTTTAGCAATGTGGTTAATGACATTGAAAAACAAAGATTAGATAACTGGTATAACTTCTATAACATGAAAGGTACAAAAAATCTAATACCAATTCAATTCTGTGCTCCTTTCAAACTAATTTTGATTTTTTCAAAACTCTTGACTGCTTCACCAGTGACACTATACATACCAAAAATCATAGAAGTATTTTCTTTTCTTTCCTGACATTTTTGTTATGAAGGCTTTTTAGACAATAGCAGCTACTTCCAAGGAAAACCCTCTATCTAATAAAATCTGATTACTACCAGAATGTCTCTGATAAAAAAACCAGGTGAAAGATACCGAAAAGATATTCAAACTCACAATTTAAAAACAAACTGTCAATGCCATGGCAAAAAACGAAAATCAATAAAAAGACAAGCAACTGTACACAAAACACAACATAGATACTAAAGACTGAGCAACACAAAGCCCACCAATTCTCAACATAACATAAATCTTACTACACAATTTTGCTAAAGTTGCACTATATTTACATATATATGAACTTGACTGGGTATAGTCATAATAACACTTTTTATTTAGGATGATTTAATGCATAACATATAGTATAGACATTGATCCATCATTTAAAACAATATGTTTACATGGCAACATCAAGATATAGGTATGGATAATTGTACTGATTTTCTGTCTCTCTTACTTTTCTCCATATTTAAGTGTACAATTATGATACATGTATACAGAAATGGATGGCCGAGTGGTCTAAGTAGTCTGTTAGTACTGTATCACTAGCCTGTCAACACTGAGGTTGTGAATTTTAAATCCTGCACATGGCAGGTGCGTTCATGAAGGTCATTGGTTCTCTCTGGGAACTCCAATTCCTGCACCAATAATAACTGACTGCCATGCAATAGCTCAACAGTGCTGAAGGTGGTGTTAAACACCAATCAATCGAGATAAATAAATGGAAATGTGTTTGTGCTTAGAACCAATCTGATGAGTCAAGTCATTTCTAACAGGGTTTAACAGTTAGTTATTATGTTGTGCTGTTACATCACTACCCAAGGTTCATAGAGGAGAGTTAAGTGCTCACACATCTGTTTTAATCTCCACAATCTTGATGTGCCTGTCCCAAATCAGGAGCCTGTAAACCAGTGTTGCCGCTTGTTTCTATCTGTCTTCCATTTATTAGGCAGTTAAGCTGCCTTATGCGAGCACCCTAGATTTGTGTTCTACCCAATAAATGCTGAAATACGTGCCAATGTTATTATCTAGCTGGCTATTATGTTATTTATAACTAATTGGACATTTTTTTAATACTTTTATTTCTGGAATACAAAAAATATGACCAGAAAAACCTTAAATGATCGTCGAACTACCCAAAACTTTTGAAGTTGCACATAGGAAGTAGTGATCAATAGAAATCCGTACGTAGTTTATTATCCCCTGTGCTTTAGGCTACGATGTCAAAGAACAATTGTATGAAATATTTCATTGCCAAAAATCGGTAATTACAAGTCGTTAATATTTCCCAAATGGCAAAATGCGCAGGAATATTGTTCATGTACAACAAATCTCTATGATAGAGGAAATAAAGTTATAAGATAAGATAAGATAAGAATTTTATTAATCTAATCAAGAACCCATAAAGGGCATCATTTACAACAATATTAAGCACAATATGATTGGAAAAAAGAAAAACTATATCCTAATATAATACTATCATATATTGGACAGGATCAGAGCCTAACACATCATGTGTCTTACATAACATTAACAATAATTGCATAATAATTTTATATATTTTGTATCCACCTGGATCTTATTTCTAAACACTTAATTATATAATTGCCTAGGCACATAAGAGTTGGTAAATGCTCATTTGTGAACAGCCAGAAATATTTTTTATCCTTGTGTAATTCTTTAAAATTATTACAAAAACTGTTTACTTTATCCCATAATAATTTTCTCTGTTCGTTATATAAAGGACAACTTACTGTGAAATGGGTCTCATCTTCAATAGAATTTGATCCATGTGATAGGCAGTGATGACATAGACGCTGACTTCTCTCTATGTATTTTTTACTATACCTATCTTTCTCAATTTTAAGATCATGTGCACTTATTCTCAATTTACATATAGCTCTTCTTATATTAAAATCTTTAATTGATAAATAAGCCTCCTTTACGAAGTCAGTCTTGAGGTTGAAATAATTTTCTAATTTACTATTACCTTGTGATAAGGTATCAGATCTTTTGACCCCCCAAAATGTTTTAAAACTGTTACAAAGTTTACATTTTACAAATTTAATTAATCTATTGAGCTTTGTATTCAAATTTTGTATATCAAGTGATTGAAGGACATATCTCATAGATGAATACCAACAATTAATGTTTCCTGCATCTAAAATTTTATTACAAACATAAGCATCATAAAGTAACCCATCGTCCAATTTGTTAAGCCTGTGTACATATTTTACCATAGATATAATGACAGAAAAATAAAGAGGAAATCTTGCAACCTCTGATAACACTGCCAAATTTGAGGCTTTTTTATTTACACCAAGAATATATTTTAGATACCTGAAATGTGATTTTTCCAAATAATCATTTATGTAAATTAATTCAAATAGATAATCACTTTTTTTCTTGCAAGCAGCAGAGTTAATCTTAAAGGTACCCCAGATTTCACTACAATATAATAAAATTGGTTTTATTGTGTGATCATATAAATGGATTGCAGTATCAATACTTGGATTACAAGCTGACATGGATTTTTGTAGTTTAAATTTTGCCTTTAAGGACTTTTTGAATAGCTCTTCTTTCCCCTGCTGAAAAAGACCACTGGAAGTAAAGACTATCCCTAAATATTTATATCTGTTAACACATTCTATAGCCTCATTATCTAAACAAAGTGATTCCTTCAAAAATTTTCCAGGCTTGTTAAAAATTAAAACTTTTGTTTTGGACAAGTTAACATCTAGACACCAATCAATACAATAAGTTTGCAGGTTATCAAGTCGGGTTTGCAGACCCTGTTTAGTGTTTGATAATATAATAATGTCATCGGCGTACATAAGACAATCAATTCTACGCCCATTGATATAAACAGCATCTGGACTCGACTCAAATCTTGGAGGCAGATCGTTAATGAAAAGCTTAAATAAATTTGGGCTTAGAACATCCCCTTGCCTAACCCCAACTAGCGAGCTGAAAGATGGCGTTAGTACATTACCCACTTTCACCGACATTTCATTTTTTCTGTACATGTCTTTTAAAATAGTATAAAATTTTCCAGATATGTTATTTTCCAATAATTTGTATCTAATACCACAGTGTATGACCCTATCAAAAGCCTTTTTAAAGTCCACAAAGCAAGCATAAATTTTCCCCCCTTTTCTGTTAGTATATTTATCTAATATGGTTTTTAAAACAAACATATGGTCAGATGTTCTGCTCTTTTTTGAGAAACCAACCTGACATGGATGAATTATATTATTTTTATCAAGATGAATGTCAAGTCTTTTATTAAGAATACTGTTAAATAATTTTCCAATGCATGAATTAATTGCTATGCCTCTGTAATTTTCAGGTTTACTAGGACTCCCTGCTTTAAAAATTGGACATATATAAGACAATGACCATTTGCGAGGGCATGTTCCAGAGCAGAATATCAAGTTAAAAAGTTTCTGCAAAACAGGTGCAAATATACTACCCCCTGATTTTAATATCTCGTTTGGGATACCATCTAGTCCTGCAGCTTTATTATTCTTTAGTTTATTTATAGCATCCAAAATTTCTTTTAGGGTTATTTTGTAATCCAGTTCACAAAAAGTTGGATTATTTTCTAAATTTTTTACTTTCTTGTTAATTTCCTCTAATCTGTCTTTAAATTTGTCAGAGTTGAGATTTAAAGATTGAAAATATGAAAACCAGACGTTAGTTTGAATAGAATGTTCTGGACCATCCAAATTGTCTTCTTTTAATTCTTTGATGAGATACCAATAACTCTTTGGATTATTATCCCTTAGATTATCTAGACTGTCAAGAATGTTTTGTTTAAATTTCCTTTGTTTATATTTACGTAGCTTATTATACTCCCTATAACATTTATAGTACGACCCTTTTATAATTGGGTCCCAGGGGAATTTTGATAACAGCTCACCTTTAGAAATAAGGCTTTTACGTTTTTGTACCAGGTCTTTGTCAAACCATTTTTTGTTTTTGTATTTACGTGCAACTTTTTTCTTGGTTTTACGGAATATTAAACATTTACTGGCAGCATTATCTATTATATCAAAACATTCATTAGCTGCCTTTTCAATATAGTCCTCTGAAAGATTAAATTTTGTGTCTAAAAAATTTTTGATACTATTTCTAATAATTGGCTGGCATAAAGTATCTTGAAGTTTTTGTGTAGAGGTTTCTGACCATATATATTTTCCTGGAAATAAAATAGTATTGTCTTGCTCCTTAGCTTTATGCGAGTAACTAGCTAACAGGCCAAATGTCAGTTTACAGTGACAGTCTGACAGAGTTGATAAAAAATCAGCAACATGAAAAAATAAAGTATCTTCAATCAAGTCTTCCGACATGATAACATAGTCAACCACACTACTACCTACTGCTTTTATACAAGTGTATTTACCATAAGAATCGCCCCACATTCTTCCATTTAAAATACGTAATTTGGACGCAATACACAAGTCCAGAAGTTGTTTACCTCTTGAATCTACTTTCATATCATAACTTAATCTCTTTTCTTGAATAATATCACAACTATAATTATCATACATTGGTATATGTGTATCATTAACATCATTTATTATAAAATCTGGCTCTGACCCTGTCCTTGCATTTAAGTCCCCACACAATATAATACTACCTTGATGGCTAAAATTTATGATATCTTTTTCTATGTTTTCTAGTGTGTCATCTTCTGATTGA